GAAGTTTAATCTGTAATGTATTTTCCATTTTGTTCGATGACCTTTTGCCATCTCTCTGACAACTTGAAATTTCCACGCTCGTAGAAAGTCTGATCCTTTTCAGCCAAAAACTGAGTTAAGTGAGATTTTACAGCGCGTCATCATCATTAAAAGTTTTACCACGAAGGGAGTTGTCCAGGGATCGAAATAAGTGGTAATCCGATGGCGCGAGATCAGGGCTATATGGTGGGTGTAACATCAATTCCCAACCAATATCCATCAATTTTTGCCGAGTGGACAAAGACGTGTGCGGCCTAGCATTGTCGTGGTGGAAAATGGAAAATTTACGATTGACCAATTCTGGTCGCTTTTCCTTGACCGCTGCATTCAATTTGTCCAGTTGCTAACATTCACGGATAATAAAAAATAACATAATAATAATAATAATAATAATAATAATTTTATAATATAACATTTACGGATATCATAAAAATGGGAGTGAGAGACATCTATAACTGAAATCGGCAATTACTTAGTTGCCAACCCAATACTTCGACTTGGTTCGATCGGGGTCCCTTTCTTTTACAGAGTTTTTCAGTCGTTAATCTCTGTGACAGTTCCTAAGAGAAAATAGGGAACTTACAGCCTCGAAGAACGCATCTATAGTGTTCTTGGAGCAACAGTTCCAAAATAAAGAAAGCAACTTTGACGAAATTTGGTAGCTGCTCGCGGGGAATATCTGCAAAGATGACTAGACCGCGCAATTCGTAAACCATCCTAGACAAAGATGAACGAGTTCTCAGGTGTCACGAATGCGCATAGACCTGCATCCTGGCGATCGCAAAAGCGGTTTCGATCGTTCTCGGAATCACCGTCCGGACGTAAAAACGACAACTCTACTATTTATCGAACTTTCGTGGTTGTTAAGGGTTCAGAGTATTTCTGCAGCGATGTCTAAACTGCGCAAACCACCGATCTTTCTAGATCAAGATGAACGAGTCACCCGGTACCATGAATGCATACAGATCCGCGTCCCAGCGATCGCAAAAGCGGTTCGATTGTTCTTTGAACTGTTGAGAAATAAAGAAGTCCGCGCCACTATGTTTCTGTAATGGTTTCCGCACTGCACAGTTCTCAGATCTTTCTATAAAAAGAATTCACCGATCAATTATGATACAAAGAATTAGTCGAATAATGTCAAGAAAATGTCAGCATCGAGTTGCTGAGTCAACATGAAAATGATGTAATATTGATAACTGAGATATTACCGTACGAACAAAACATGTTGATAAATGATAAATAATAATTCCTAATATTACGTGAAATCCTGTTGCTGTAAAAAAAAGAAAAAGCGAAACCATAAACGCTGTCATTAAAAGTGAAAGGAACCTCATGATGCTTAATTATCTGAAAGCAAGAATAGAGAGTTATAACAATAAGATAATATATTATCTTGAGTATACAGAAAAATCTGTGTCTGAGCGATCGCAAACGCGATTTCGATTGTTCTCGGAGCAACTGTTCAAAACTAAAGACAATCGCACCGCTATGCGACGAATTTTCATGTATACGACCGGTTCAAGAAGTATCCGCAACGATTTCTATACTGCACGATCCTCGCATCTATCAACATAATATCTATCCTTGTGTATATAAATTTAATATTTAATATTTTATACTATATTTAACTATATATTTATCTCTATAAAGACAAATGAGTCCGCGGATAGCGGTGGTGCGCGCAGATCTGCATCCGAGCGATTTCGATCGGCTACTTTTCTGAAGAGGCGGCGGAATCCGCGGAACTGATTGTTCGACCCGGAACAGCAGATTGGTTCGGATAAGAGGAAACGGGGACGCGTTTCGGTCGGAATTCCGGCCCCGAAAACGGGAAGAAGCCGCGCAACGAATCAATCGGGACGAGGATAATGGAAAATTCGTCGCAGCAGCCCATTCAAGCCCTTGGCGTAGCCGCGTTTGCGAGGAACGTACGGGCCGGGTCGTTGCGCTTTTCCGATGACGTGCTCGTTGCGTCACGTCGTCATGGATACCCCGTTGTTCCGTCGTCGACGAGCAGCCCGCTCTTCTCGACGAACCCGTTGGAAATTGGGGCTTCGACCGCGAATTAGGTCGCCGCGTTGCTCCACTTCGAGCCGAGAGCGAGAACGAGCGCGAGTTAGGAGCCGAATCCGAGCTCCTTCCTTTCTTCCCCCGCGATGCGCCAACCTACATCTACATCTCCGCTTTGCTCGACGAATCGCGGTTTCGGGATTTTTCGCTACTCGAACACCCAACTCACCGATCTCTCTGACCAACCTCGATCTCTCTCTCTCTCTCTCTCTCTCTCGCTCTCCTCTCTTTCTCTCCCGCCGCTAATAGCATCTTTCAGATTTTTAGAAACTGCGAAATGCACGGACAAACGGCCGCGTGGACCTCCCTGCGTCATCGAAACGTCTCGGCGCAATTGCCACTTGATTCTAGCCGGGTCCCAAGTGGTTGAAAGAGTCGCCACATCGATGGCTTCGTTCGTTCGTTCGCTCGCTAAATTTATGTTTTACTTATTTATAAACCGGAAACCCATTCGAATACACAACAGAAGATATCAGCGCAGTGGTTGCAATCTCATTCAACTTCGACATTTAACAATAGAGCGAATGATTACTGTACCGTCATTGAACTTTTTGGTATCCTTATTGTTAAATGTCACTGTAATTATACGGTATAATATGTTTACTCAATTCCACATTTTGTTTAAATACAGTAGGTACTGCTGTCTCGTTTTTTTATCTTCGTATTTTGTTTAAATACAGTAAATACAAATACTATCTTAGCAGATAGTAATTCTTGTTACAGGATCCGAATAAAGAAGATTTGACATTATGCGTATAGTAAAGGTTTAACACGAGCGCCGTGTCGGTCAGACACTAATTTTTAATCAATTTTGAAAATTCGTTTTCATTTTAATGTATTCGAACAAACTGAATTTGTCTAGGATGTGTTCGGATGCGAAAGAGTTCTCTAATGTGATCAATTTTAACTTCCTAGTTTCAGTTTATTTAATTAAATTGCTTCGAATTGGGAATGTTGGAAATTTTAGTGGTTGATTGTCGGCGCTGAACGTGTCGAATGTGCCAATAAATCTTGTTACTCTCGATGGAGCATAGAAGTTTACACAGCGAAGAAGCCGTGGACAAGTTATTAAGCCAATCAAAATATGCGAAAGAAAAATAACATTAGTAACGACTTCCCTAGACTCAAAGGGCTCCACCTAACAAGCGAATAAGTTAAAGCGTATATATATATATAGTATACTATGTACATATATGTATATGGTCTGTAAATTATTCTCGATCGATTAATTAAATTGAACTCCTTCGACGTTAGATCTGCCCGAAGTAGCCGCGATAAACGATCTCGCATTTCTTATTTTAGAACGTGCTTTTGTCGAGATCTGCCGGAGAAGCTAATTTATTCATTTGCACGCGGCGCTGCGACTTTTCAGACAGGCTACTGTCGCCGCTGTGCTGTACCGTTGCCAATAGCAATTGCCTGTTAGATGCAGCAATCGTTAATTAAATTCGCCGTCCGATAATCGCGATCGTCGAAGCACTTCGCCATTTTTTACAGTTAACCAGTCGGCTCCTTTGACGAGTATATTCGTCATAACGCAAAATATTGTAATTTTTTCATGTATACTTGTAAAAAACAGTTAACTGGTTCGGAGGAATATACAGACTGTCCTTGAAAGGTATGTACAAGCGGGCACCAGGCGATTCCTCATTAAAAAATATGAAAAAAATATAGAATAACTTTTTTTGTTTGGGACTTAGTTTTCGAGAAAATCGAATTATATGAATTATATAATATAATATATATAATATATATAATTATATATGAAATATAATATATAATATATATAATTATATGAAATATAATATATAATATATATAATATATTATATAATTATATGAATTATATAATATAATTATATATAATTATATGAATTATATACGGTAAGTGCGGTAAATATACAAAGCGAATATTCAAACTCGATTTTCTCGAAACTTAAGTTCCAAACAAAAAGAAGTTATTCTATATTTTTTCATGTTTTTTATAAGGAATCCCCTGGTGCCTGCTTGTAGATACCTTTCAAGGACACCTTGCATACTTTGATATTCTTTATTAAATTATGCAGTGGCCCATAAAAATGTTCCTACACCTTTTCAAACGCAATAACTTTTTTAAAAACTAGATTAAGGGACTTGAATTTTTTTGAGATGATAGCGGGACTAGTCTACTAGACGATCACCAAAATGCTTTTTTAAAATTTTGCCTTACTTGGAATGACAAAACAAAAATGAAAAAACTCTCGAGCCTATAACAAAAATTTGGAAAATGCTTCTCGTAGATCTCAGTAACTTATATGCGTGCTGAAAATTTTATCGAAATCGGTTGACGTTGTTATGAGTTATAACAATTTAAAGATGGTAAAAATCACAGTTTTATCACGATTTTGATCAAAGAATTTAAAATAAATTTTTTAACGCTTGTAGCTCGACTCTAGTTTAACCGATTTCGATAAAATTTTCAGCACGCATATAAGTTACCGAGATCTACGAGAAGCATTTTTTTAATCTTTGTTATAGGCTCAAATAAAAACGTTAAAAAACGAGAGTTTTTTTATTTTTGTGTGTTTTGTCATTCTAAGTAATAGCAAAATTTAAAAAAAGCATTTTGATCATCGTCTGATAGACTAGTCGTCCCGCTATCACCTAAAAAAATTCAAGTCCCTTAATCCAGTTTTTAAAAAACGTTATTGCGTTTTAAAAGGTGTACGAACATTTATGTGGGCCACTGTATATTTTATAGAAATGCTGTATTTAAACAAAATACGGAGATAAGCAAACATATACAGTATAATCACAGTAACTTACACGATTTTCAAAAAGATTACAACAGACAACTGATTAAAACAAATAATATTCGATATCGCAGCGCATTCGAGAGACGCTGTAGAGAGAGAGAGAGAGAGAGAGAGAGAGAGAGAGAGAGAAACGAGATAGACAAAATATGAAGCAGTTACCGATGCGCCGAATGCGCTAGGAAAGGCGGGAGAGGAAACGGTATGTGACAAGAATAACGATCGATCAACGTAGAATCATAATGTAATATATTATTTTTCTTATTATAACACAATATTGCTATCGTTATCATAAACCGTAACAAGTTTTCTTTCCTCCGTTTCTATCCCATCGTCGGTGATCGCAAACGCGACGCACCCTCGATCCTCGTCGATCGTTATCGCCGAGGCAATTAGCATTATAGATCTTGGTAACATTATTTTTCAGCCGAAATGTAGAAGCTTTCGCGCGTAGAGGCACTGTGTGTCGTCGACGCGTTCGATTTTCACGGTTTCTTCGCGAATCTCGTTTCCCGATCGCCCGCGAGCCTCGCTTGCCTCTTCTCGGACACGAATGAGATTGAGAGCAAGGAACGGAGATCGCGATCGACGGAGAAACGACATCGACGAGAAGGGGGAAAGAGTATACGCGAGACACGACGTTATAAGCGTGAAGCTTGGAATCGTTAGAAAATCGAGCCTTAATGTAGAATGGAAAAGGATACGTTCGTCGAAGCGTAAAAAACTGCATAAAAATTCGAGTGAGAACGCGTCAATCTAGAATCTAGAATCCCGGGCGGACGATCGGTCGCCGGTAGACTGCGGATCTTTACTTCGTCCACACGTGTCAAAAGTGCAGGGAAACGCATGACATTTTTTATTTGACTCTTAACGATCTTTTAGCCGACGAAAGAAATACGTTCCCCTTGGTTTTAATTATCATATAATCGAGAAAAATGGGAGTACGCGTAAATAACCGCAGTCTAATGATCAATGATCCGCCGCTACTACGTTTTCGACTGCCTCGATTCGAAGACCAAGGCGAAAGAGGTATGTAAAAATATGATTATCTCGTTCGTCGATAGAGTTAAGTGCTGCTGTATCGATTATATCCGCGTGATTCTCTTCCATTCTGTTCGCTCCGTTTCGTTTCGTTTGCGTTTCGTTTCAATTACTATTCTCTTCGTTCGTTCGTGCCGGTGTTTCGGAAGCGCTGCAAACGAGACGCTCCTCCATTTGCGAATGATCGTATCATTCTGATCTGGTTGCGCGTGGCTCGTCCCGTTGCTCCGGCAAGCAACGGCCTAACGGTGATCGTGCGTTCAAGCGCGGCGCAAGATTGCTTTTTTTTTTTTAAATACGAACGGTCATCAACGAAGCGATTCGAACAACAATTTCAGGGCAAAATGACGACGCTGGTTACGCTGGCTCCGATGAAACAGCTGACGTCCGTCGAACATCCGCTCGGCTCGCTCCTGATCAGCAGAGCTGGCTGGATGGTATTCGTTCGAGACATGGAGCTTTTATACACGTTCTAAAAAAACATACAACACTTGTCTTGAACCGGGCATTTGGCAGCGAGAGCACAGAGCAAACCTATGCACAAGAATATGCATTTAGCCTAGGTGTCAGTATTACAGGGACGACTTGACTCACAGAAATCAAACAGAGAGTATAAACAAGGCTCTGGTTTCTAACTAGGGAACACAACGACATAACTCGGCCAAATAGATTCGTGAACAAGCAACCGATTAGTAGTCGAGCAGGCAAAGACAGGGGAGAGTATAATTCGTCAATGATAGGAAACGAGAAATCATGCTCAGGGAACTACTCGTTGACTTACCTATTCACTGAGCACTGGCAGTAGGGACCTTACGCGAGGAACGAATCAGAAGAAAGTACGATTAGCTGATCGAAACGTTTCACGAACGATCCGAAAAGTATACGATCGGTAGAAAACGTTTGCGTATCCTTTCTTAAAACGAAACAACTTCTTTTTGAATTGGACCTAGCGACTTGTATTTTAGATATTAAAAGAACTAGTTTACTAGACAGTGAATAATCAAATTTTTGCAAAGTTGCAATTGAACGGAATGAAAAAAAAGAATCACGTTTTAAATGATGCTTTGTTTAAAAATATTGTTTCTTTATTTCTTGTATTATGCTAATCAACTGCAATTTTTACACAATTGTTTTCGTACATCGTCTACATTCTAATACCTCAAAAAATTCAAATATGGTCCAATTTTACAAAAGTTATACCGCGTTAAATAGTGTAGACAGACTTTTTCTACCGAGTCTATGCAGAGATTCTCGCGATGAATAAGCACACTGATCACTTACAGTTCGATGTTCTGTATGGTGGACGTGGGACAAGTAGTGTCCACCTTGACGTGACAGTGCTTGTGACACTTCATCTGACAGTCCCTACACTCGTAGCCTTGTTTGCCCAACCGTCTCGCTAGCGTTCGTTTGCAGACTTCGCATACCGTTCCCCTAAAATTTAACGAGTTCAACGGACATCTGTTTCTCCTCGAATAACTGTGCTTCAATTTCTTACCCCGCCATGTGTTTCGCTATGAACGTGTGATCGTTGAATATGTGAAGTTTGGTGCCCTTTTTCCTCCACTTGTTCTTCTGTGCTAGCGATAGAGGTACCAAATAGTGCCTGAGAATTGAAAGAATCAACGTCAACGGCTGACCGTTAGAGGATCATAAGACAATGCTGCGCTCCTTACTTTTTGATACCGTTCTCAACCGTCTCGAGAACCAGCGTGGAGGCTTCGTTGATGTACGTCCTCGTCGACGCTCCGCTTATACCAGAAGCTTCGCTCAGACTGGACCGCCTCGAGTGCTCTTCCCTTCCTGGTATCGATAAACGAGCTATAAAACCCAAGCGAAACCACTATTTGCACTCCGTTGCGTTAGTCGCTATGGAAAGTAATAGGCGGTAACTAAAGTGTTAACTCTAGCAATTAGCGTCACTTAAAGCTAGCAATTTAAGGAGTCCACCGGGTTTCTATCGAACTTTCCTATCTCTATGTGTTTATGCGTTTATAGACCTAAACACTATCTGTTTAGTTGGTTAATAGAATAGCAACTACACGGATGCAGGAGAGTCTATTGACAAGGCTGCGCCCGAATTTGCATTGACAGAGGGATTGGCATCCGGAACACCGATAGCATCCTCGCTGTCGGTAGATAATACTCACCGAGCGTCACGCACACCGTGCCACAGGCGATTCGTACGCACAACAAACAAGTTCAACTTAAGCTAGTAACAGACCTAGTTCTACTTTATACCGCCTGTTCTTTATATTTAGCCTAGCTACTGTAAATTGCATGGTGACTATAGATCGGGTCGTACCGGATCCAGGATCGCGTGCTCTGTCCGCGGATATGGATCTAGAATGAGGGTCTTCGTGATTTAAATCACCTTCCGGACCCACGGACCTACTCCTTGTTTTCGATCTCGTCAGTCGCTTCTTTATGGTGCCGAAGAAGTCTCGCCGTTTTCTTCGAGTCCTTCCTCTTTCTGCAAGGAAACGCAAACCATCAGCACACGATGTACGGATGTACGTTTACAGGATCGAGGAATAAAATACCTTCGGAATTGGAGGAATTCGGCGTGCTTTCTGGTCCTGACGTCGCGCTCGTGTCTTTCGTTCCATGCTAAAACGGACATCAAAGTTATCGTCCATACTCTTCGTATCGATCGACGCTTTGCAATTTAGGAGTTAATCGACATCAAACATTGAACATACAGACATCCGAGCACATAATTACCTCTGGAGATATCTCTTGCCAGCTGCCGTGTTCCGTGAGGGCGACCTGCCGAATTAGTTAACACACGCCACGCAGCTGACGATTATTAGTGCTCTCGTGAGACGGAGGGTTGCTCTCGGTTAAAGCTATGGGCGCAACTAGATCTACGGGGTTCAAACCACGCGTAATCAAATGGGTGCGATCTGTGATCCTAAGGAAACACTTGGGTACAATACATTAAACACTGTCAAACACCTGCTCTGTGGAGTTTTAGATTACCTACAATCAATTTGTCAGACAGTGTTATCAACGAGGGTTTGATCTGTCTTGCAAAAAAAACTGAAATGGAATGATACAATGCATAGTTGTCGCGAAGAAAAATGAAAAATAAAGACCGGGGGAAAAAGGTTTTGGCGATTCGACTCGTGGTGGGCGTGCACGGTTTATCGTCTCGGATGATGTCATGCAGTGTGTAACGGGTTACCTTAACTACTTGCCGCTCCGGTTGCTGCAAAAGAAAACCGAGAAAAAGATACGAAACAGTTAGTTAAGTACGAGTTAGACAAGAAAAAGAGAAAGGAAGTATTCGCTGCCGTTGCGGATCCATCCAAGCGGAGCTTTACGGGAACGTACCCTCTGCTGGCTGTGGACGATCAGGGTCCCCTTGTTCCCGTTACTCTGGCCAGTTCTGTAGGGCGACTCCATGACGTTCCCATTGGTCAGATAATCTACAAAACGAACGGTTCGCGTTGAATCGGTATTGTCCGCGAGAAATCCATTCGTGGTCATCGTTCGTATATGTATAAGACGCTTGAACATTGTCCATTGTTTCTCTACGAAGCATCGGTCATTTCGTTTACCAGATGAATTTTTCGCGTTTGGCTACGTCCCGGCGGATTACGTAAATCGTGATTTACTGTCATCGTCGCTCGTCAAGATCGGTTCTCTGGTAGCCGAAATAACTTTTGAAGGACTGCGTACCGGGAAACATTCCGATCGGGAGGCGAGCGTGAAAACCATTCAAAATCGTGCTGGGCGTTAAACACGAACGTTAAGGGGCCCACAAACGTTACAATTTATCAATCACGCTCCGCTACAGTTTTCTGGCCGATCGAAGCGTCATAAAGAGACACAGTGATTTCAATTTGTACAGCTCGTATGGGCCGCTTAAGGAGACAAAGAATAGGTAGGGGAGATAGACAAAGAATCTACGCGCTACTCGAGAATGTCTACATGCGAGTACAAGTCCGCACAATCACGACGCACAGTGTTCCGACAAGATTCGAGTTTTATGGACAACGGTATCGCCGTCCAAAAGATCTCAAGGAAATTTAGCATGATTCTATAATGAGGGAATGCTGACTTTCGGAACACTGTGCGGCGTTTCGATGGTTCTGTCTGATTAAAACTCGGGCTAGTACGCAGAACCAGGCTCGTTTCACGGGCAGGTGACAGACAGAGCAGTTGCCTGCGCCGTTAAACAGATGTCGGTAATTCGGAGACACGGTGGTTCGCGAGAAAAAACAGCGAACAGTCTGCGTCTGTGTGGGAGGAAGTGTGTACGGGCGCGTGACACTAATCACTATGATTCCACACTCGTGAATAGGAACGCAATGCCTTTGCAGATAATGTAATTGGTAATTACCCCCATCGGACTGAACGGTAGAGTCGTACAAGATAAGTGTGCTGTTACCATTGTTGTAATTTAGACTATTGTCGCTGATGAGATTTGTCGGATTGTAGGTACGAGGAGTCGGTGACACCGCCTTTAGCGTCTCCTTCACTTTGAAAGGTTTGCTCCCAATTTGAGGCACCTCTGCACCCTCGATGAACAGAAACTGGGGAAAAGAGAGAGAAAGAAAAAGAGAGAGAGACAGGGGGTGACAGGGTCCGGAAAGAAAGCGGGTGAACAGAACAACGAGGCTTCAGTTCCGCGTCTATGATCAAGCTTTTTAATTACCTCGACGGTCAAGGTGCCAGTGATGTCCTCTTCTTCATAAGGCCGACACTGGAGAGGTATGATCTGCCTCTGACTAGGATTCGCGAGCAGCTCGTCGACCCCGACGATTCCAAGGCCGAGGAACCGCTGAGACTTGTTCACGCGGTCGTAGATTTCCAATAAGACCTCGGTGGTGTTACGATTCACGTCGCTGAGGACCAAAAAGAAATGAAAATTTGATTCGTGGTAGATAGTAGTGTGTTTATTACGGGTTGTAGAAGAACTTACAACAGGAACGCCTCGTCCCACAATGGGTTCCGGGTATCCTTTTTCACCGAGGTCTGATTTTTTTGCGGTGGCTCGTCCAGCTCGACCACACAGTACGGTTCTATGGCACCTTGCTCGCCACCGAGCTCCGACGCTCTCACCACTTTCACTAACAACCTCTTCTCACCTGACACGTACTGACTCTGCGCCGGAGTCGGTGTACGGGTCCGCATTTGTTGCTGCCGCATCTGCTGGGCCTGCAACGAGCCGCTGGACGTGCTCTGCGAACAAATAAAAAATAGACAGAGTCCACATTTTGATAATAATACTGTGAATATTTGTCTCATAAATACAACGATCTTACCATGCTGTCGTAGTGCACCGGCACGGAAAAACCGGGCAGGCTGGATGCTTGTTCCCTCCATAGTCGCGGGCAATTGGGGTACTGGAACAGGTTCAGATGAACATTGGTCCCTCTTAGAGCGCCGACGACAATTTCCGTAACGACCTCTTGCAAGTGGCTTTCGTCGAGGTCCTTCTTGATCGTTCCCACAGCCGCCAGCGATACTTTCACCTGACGCATCGATTATTCATATGAGCGTCGTCGAGGATCGACCGATAGATTGTCTGTTACAAACCTCTGGCCAGCCGTCGCATTTCAGGTCAAGAAGAAGCTTCTCTGTAATGCAGATGACGTGCAGCCGGGCGCGGAAACGGTTTACGTTGACGCGATAGTGGCTGACCTCCAGCTTGTCCGACTTGCGACGAAAAGCTTTCAGCTGCAGAGCGGGTGTAGCTTCGCAGTCGCATGTGATCGTCTGCGAACGAAACAGCAGATCAGAGTCTTTATCCGGACTTAAGCGGATTTCGAGCAAACCGATAGATATACGCATATACGTACCACGTCATCCTTCGAGTCGCATTCGCAAAATATATTGGAGAGATTGGGTGGATAGGTTTCAGGGAGAACCCGGATAAATTCAACACCAACCCCATGCTGGAAAACCAGTTATCGATTAAGTTCCCGGACTTACTCATCTATAATTATCATGTAATCACAATATAATGATACCCGTAGCGCTAGACGAACACGTTACAAGGAGACATTAACGCTTTACCTACTGGCATCTTCTTCTAAACAGCCATCCTAAAGAAAGTAATTGGTCTCTACTACTGTAGATAACTCGTTGATTTATACATCGCCGGTAGATAAAGCGTTACAGGGCAATCGCAAATACTTTATTAGTAAACGCCGCAGCGGCACGAAACGGTTTCCCTCTTCATGCAAACTGTTGCAGGATGCCCCGGTTAAATGGGATCACCTAAATCCACGAATCATTCTTGCACAACGATAAGCAAGTTGATTCGACATTCGTACGTATACTTCTGTTTGTTCATCGCGACGGTAAAAAACGGAGAAGGGAAAACGGTCGGGGACACGTGAAATGTATTCCAGTCGGCGATCAACGGCGTCGTAAAAGTTTTGCACGACAGTGGTCGAGCGCGTGTGCGCGTATCTGTCAGGCAAGATAAAATTGTCCGACGCTGAGTGGTTGCGACGAGAGTTTTCGTTGCTGTAACCACCCACGCACGGCCGAAAATTCAGCTCGCCCCTTATCTAGCCCCGCATCATTTCGACTGAAGACGAGACGAGTCGTCGCGACGTCTCGATTGCCAAAGCATCGTGGTCGACGACAGAGGAATAGAGAGGCTCACCTCGTCGACGGAGTTGGCGGTGAACTGGTTCAGGGATCCCACCCAGACCGACAGCACCTCGTCGAGGATCGCGGGATCGGTGTAGAGCCAGACGATGATCTCATTGATCCAGCGCACCGCATCCGGATCGGCGCCGGTCGCAGTCGGTAGGTTCAAGCTCTTGGAGCTTCTGGCGGGGCTAATCAGGGCACCGGAAGTCTTTCTGGCGGTAAGGCGCTTTCGAACAGGTGGGGTCGGCGGGACGTAAGACGTGGGGGATCCGGAAGGTGCGGAGACAGGTGCGGACGGGTGGCTGGCGGATCCGGAAGCGGAACCGGTACCGCCACCACCTGCCCCAGACGGTGCGGGGGACTTTCCGCTTGACGATCCGCTCGAGCCCGATGCTGGTTTCTGCTTTCCCAGCGAGAGCAACTTGCTGCCGCCGAAGATACCGCCACCACCGCCGCCGCCACCGCCACCACCACCACCGACACCAACGCTATCACCGTGAACGATATGGCCGTCCTTCGCGGCAATTATCGTACCGGAGGCGACCTCGTTTAAAACGAACCGATTGTAAACGTATTTGCCGACACACAACACCACCAGCCCGAACAACATCCAGCCGAATATTAACATCGATAACGTATCCATGGTCGTGTCACCAGCCGAGTCGAAACTGCATATCAGATCGTCCACCCGCTCGGCCAAGTCGGCCATATTGCCCCATCGTTCGACCAACCAAGTCCAATTGGATTCCAAAAACATTCTTTTCTATTTTCACCCGCGAGCGAACGACGTCCCCCCACCAACGACGTATCGCGGGCTATTAATACGCCGCACCTATACCCTGGGCCCCCAGGACTACGGCACTGGCTATGTCTCGATTTTCACTCGTGTTTCGTCGGCTACCGACGGATCCCAAAGACTCTTCCGCAGGTCGCTTCCGCTCGCTTCGAATCGCTTCTCCGCGAACCTGTAGCTTTCCCGATCTACAAAACGGAAGGAGTCAGTCAATTCTCTCCTCTACTTCCGTCTCTAGTAACTTATTGTTTCTTTAACTCTCGGAAGGCACGCTGTGTTCTTTAAGACACCAAGCAAAGGCACCTGTATGCTAATTTTTTGTGAGGAAACACTATGCCCGTACATAGTGCACGCTACTAGAACTATCAAATCCGACAAAATTACAGATTTCAGATTGTTTTATCTTGTCTTTAACCCTCTGACGTCGCATTGAGATCACTAAGGTGCCATCAAGGTCAATTCAATACTGATTCTCGCGAGAAACAGTGTGCCTTTACAGAGTTAACGCTAGAACTATCGAACCCGACAAAATTACGGCTTCCAGATTACTTACTTTGCAATTACTGAGACTGGGAAGATGCTTTTGTGAACAATTACTGGATATATATTTACTCGTTCAGATATCTTTTGTAATCAAAATCGTGCAATCTCCCGATAAAAGAGTTCCAATTATTTTGAAAACCAATACAAGCTAATAGGAATCAGTGCTCAGTCGTTCCAACGTTAAGTGTCCAGCAATTCTTACATTTTTCGGTATATATCGGCTCGATTTACAACCTTCTAGAATAAATCTATCCAAAAAGATCGATCGGCAGGTCGTAAAGCCATCGATGCCGCAACGCTTCGGCCGCGCCTATCCGCCGATTGCTATGGTATTCGCGGCTCGCTTCGATCCAAGTATAATTCCAGCGGCTTTAGTTGTAAGTCCGATCTAAATCCGATCTTGATTTCTCGATCTCGAGGTCATCGTCGATAAGAATCCAGCCGTTCCCACGGTGTCCAGCGATGCGTCGACGACAATCTCATCGTCCGTTCCAGCTGAAATCAGAACGCTGTGTACAGCCCAGGCCGTTTACACGTCGCCGGATCGAGGAAGAAATCAATAGCAGCGCGTTCCGTTCGCGACTCGCGACTCGCGGACAATGAAGCCTCGATAAGCCGCGACTTATCATTATCACCGGCGACGCGCGTGTTTGCGCGCCACAAACGTTGACCGCGTGGATCGGCCCTCGTGCTCGAATCGCCGCTATATCTTACCGATGCTCCGTCACTGTGCGCACTGTCGGTCGCATCGCGTCATCTTCTATTCGCGGAGTCTTCGACTTTCCCTCTCGTCAGTCTCCTCCGATCCACGATCGCTGATTTATCTTGCTGCTGGCCGGGTCTCCGATCACTGAACCACGATCCCCGCTTTCACGTCGGTACGTTTCTCTGAAATGCGAAACGATCTGATCACCATGTTCCACTGGAATAGCAAAGAATCGGCCGACGAGGGTGAAGCTATCGGAGCAATCAACCCCCAAAAACCGTCGGACGCTGACGCAGTCGGCGAGGATGACGCCGACGCATAATCTCGGGGTGGGATCTGCACGAGCGTATATCAGAACCGTGACGCACCGGCGTCTTACCGATCGATCGGTTCGACCCCGAATCCTCCGGCCAGGTCCGGTGCTAGTTTTTGCGGTCGGGCACGACGCGACTCTGCTACTTTATGACACCGCGGTTCTCCGACTATCGCACACGCTGGACCGTGTTCCATGGGGCGCAAGCGCGAGACCATGCTGCATTTACCTCAACAATAATTCGATTCGCTGGTTCCTCCGGAATTCTGCACGTCTCGGATGACCCCGTTTTCCCTGGGACTTGCCAGCGAGGCGTTTCACGGTCGCAGGCGGCGCGTCCTCGTCGACTTCCGGTCCGCGAGGACGTCGACTTCCGTCGCCGAGAGCCCCAGGCTCGCGTGCACCAAGGTACCAGCCGGCCGGCCGGCCGCCTGATCGGCGCCACTTTCTTCGTTTCCCTCCCTCGCGGCTCCCTTCGGCCCCCTGCAACCCCCTTCCGTCGATTCCTTCGACCTAGAGGCGGACCAGCCGAGACTAGCCGTTGCGCTCCAGATTCCCCGACGGTATCGATCCGGACGCGGTCGCGAAAACACCCGCAGGACGCACCCACGGAAACCCAGCCGTCGCACCACGTTGCAGCACGCGGACTTTAACTATTCCTCCTCTTTCTCTCCCTCTCTCTTTCCGACCCTCTCTCTTTCTTTCTCTTTCTCTTTCTTTCTCTGACTTTCTGGCCGCCTTGATAGCAGCGTGCGCGCGCGTGTTTCGACCACGCGGCCTCTGGAAGGTGCGGCCTCTCGATCCTGCGAGCGGAAACAACAAACACCGCTCTGCCTTCGCGATCGACCAAACTAGATTCCCCGCTATCCCACTTCACGCGTCATTCATTCCTCCCCCCGTTCCTTTCTCGCCCATCTGCTACTCCCACCCGCCGTTCCGTTACCTTGCGTCATGCTCTCTGGACGACCGACGACGTGTAATATCGCTGCTGTAACCGCGATCGGTCAAAGATCGCCGACGACGATCACGCACGCTGGTTTTCAATAGGATCTCATAGCCGTGCAAAATTAGCCCTGCCGTCATCTTTGCCGATACGTGCGCGTACGTATCTTCGAAACAATCGCGCCTTCGTTACTACCGAGAATAAAATACTGCGATCGGCCTTGATCGTCTTGCAAGATCATTTTCGGACGAAAGCTCGCGTCTCGCTCTCACGGCGAATGGTACACGCCGATTCTGGAAATCAATTTGTCAAATATATATATATATATATATCGTAGTCATCGTAGTCAACAAATGTGCTACTCCTGCATCGATATATATATATTTGACAAATTGATTTCCAGAATCGGAATATATATCGATGCAGGAGTAGCACATTTGTTGACTACGATGACACAAGTTCTCGCGCGAGAACGAATCTCGCGATTTTCCAGTCTGTCCTCAACTAGTTCGACCAGTCTCTACTAGAACTTGAAATTTCGCAGCTTTTCTACCGCTGGGTCTCGCATGAACCGATCACGTTGATAGCTGGTGCAGACACAGAAGCAACAAGCCGCTCCATGTTGCTCCGATGCCAACAACTTCGAAGAAGAAAAGAAGAAGAAAGAAAGAAAGAAAGAAAGGAGAGTTTCATTCTCTGATAGATCGATTTACGGAAAGAGTACTTTTTATGTCTCGGTACCTCTTTTCTCACTTGTCAGTCTAACGACATTAAAAGGAAAGAGTCGATTATATCGGTGATTATAGTAGAAAGTTTGAAGCGGTTGCGTAAGCGCAGGTGCATGCCGGGACGAGGAGCAAACGGAACAACGTTACTCCGACTGTATTTCGGCGTATACTTTTTATTGTTTCGTCATTCAATTTACATACAAATATTTTCAAGATACGTCTTAAGAAACAGTGTGCTCGGCATCGATTCAAACTTCTCTTTCTCTCTCTCTCATTCTCTCGGTCTCTCTCTCTCACTCTCTCGCTCTCTCTCTCTCTCTCTCTCTCTNCGTCTTGCAAGATCATTTTCGGACGAAAGCTCGCGTCTCGCTCTCACGGCGAATGGTACACGCCGATTCTGGAAATCAATTTGTCAAATATATATATATATATATATCGTAGTCATCGTAGTCAACAAATGTGCTACTCCTGCATCGATATATATATATTTGACAAATTGATTTCCAGAATCGGAATATATATCGATGCAGGAGTAGCACATTTGTTGACTACGATGACACAAGTTCTCGCGCGAGAACGAATCTCGCGATTTTCCAGTCTGTCCTCAACTAGTTCGACCAGTCTCTACTAGAACTTGAAATTTCGCAGCTTTTCTACCGCTGGGTCTCGCATGAACCGATCACGTTGATAGCTGGTGCAGACACAGAAGCAACAAGCCGCTCCATGTTGCTCCGATGCCAACAACTTCGAAGAAGAAAAGAAGAAGAAAGAAAGAAAGAAAGAAAGGAGAGTTTCATTCTCTGATAGATCGATTTACGGAAAGAGTACTTTTTATGTCTCGGTACCTCTTTTCTCACTTGTCAGTCTAACGACATTAAAAGGAAAGAGTCGATTATATCGGTGATTATAGTAGAAAGTTTGAAGCGGTTGCGTAAGCGCAGGTGCATGCCGGGACGAGGAGCAAACGGAACAACGTTACTCCGACTGTATTTCGGCGTATACTTTTTATTGTTTCGTCATTCAATTTACATACAAATATTTTCAAGATACGTCTTAAGAAACAGTGTGCTCGGCATCGATTCAAACTTCTCTTTCTCTCTCTCTCATTCTCTCGGTCTCTCTCTCTCACTCTCTCGCTCTCTCTCTCTCTCTCTCTCTCTCTTTCTGCGCGCACTAACGCTGCTAAACGTATTTTGTCGTACAAATGTTGTTTCGCTGGGGTGTCCCTTGCGCGAATCACTTAAAATACTAGCAAAATAATACGCTACGCGGTGGTGTGCCTCGTCGAGCTCCCCTTCGATGCGTCCGGGATATACAGATTGTACATGTGTATATCCGTTCCGTCGTTGTCGTCGCTCGAGAACAAAAATCCGTCGCCGACCGATCGACGATCGTCTCCGTCCAAGTACCTACGTCGAACGCGAACGATAACGATGGCTTCCGGTGGTGAACGCAAGCCATCCGGTTTCGCCGCGTCCGCTCTTTCCGTCGCTCGAGGGCTAGACGAAGCGAGTCGGCGAGGATAAACGAACCGTCGGCAATGCATTCCCTGCGCGAATCATCCGAAGAATGCGAATCGGACGACGTTGTCCCACACGCGAGTAGTCGTCACGTGCGCCTGTTTTACGATCTATACAGAGACCGTAAACCCCGATGCACTCGAGCCACACGGTATCTAACCGTTATCGATAAGAGATTAGGAAGCGTTTACTTAATCCTCTTCCTTAATCGGGTTAACTGAAACGAACGCGCAAAGTATTCGAATCGAGCGTACGCGGGAAGAAACACGAATTTCCACGATCTGCATCGCTCGTGTGCATCGGTTCGAAAACAGCGTCTGCATCTCGTAACGGGACAATTCCATTCGACGATTCGTTCCCTTTTCTCTCGTTTCGATGTCGTTCGAGGTAATCCTGCGCGAGAAACGGCGGCGAGACGCGATCGGCGGTCAACGCTTCGCGGTCTGTCGACAAAACAGCACGGGCACATTAATTACTCCGACGATCCCAGTTGTGTCTCTCATCGATGATACCTCAAATCGCTGGAGACACGAGCGAACCGTCGAAACGCTGACTAATAGCTTGAATTTCGTATTAGTATCCGTACAGGATGCTTCCTAGACGAGACCGTAGGCTTCGCGCGAGCTCCCATTTTTTGTAAAAGTCGACATGGGACAGAAATATAAAAAGAGAAACAATCTCTGTTGACGGCAGCGTTTGTTCGGGTTACAGTCTTCGCAGTCGTAACAGTCTATTAAATGCAAGTTACCTTATAAAATATGAACAGACGTATCATGCCGCCGGCTATAAATTTAAACGACACGGTATATAAAATTGTTTCGATCTTCATTCATGTAAAACACGAGATATCGAGGGGTGTGCATCGTGCGTGCATCGCGACGCTGCCACAAATAAATCTTGATTCTACGAAAACATCCTGTAGAATAGAAAAATGTTTCGAAAACGGGCCTTGGATCGCGAAGCGTTGAAACGCAACACAGATCGTTCGAACGTTATACTGCGCGTGCTACCGCGGCTTGTGCATGTATGTACAAAAGTCGTTGTCCTCGGGTAAAAACTAATATAGCCGACGATAACGATAATCGCGGAGTTATCGTAACGGTATGGTCGGTAAATAAAAGTGCAACAATAATTAGCTTGGTCTCGCCTTTCGTCGCCGCTTCTGTGTCATGCGCGCGACACGTGAAACAACGCGTCGAACGCAGCGATTTTCTGTCTGTTGTATCGCCGACACGAAAAACTGTTCAACGCACACGTTGCTTCTTAATGGCCCTGGACATGGTATGCCTCGCGATTCGATTCAATTTGATGCAATACAACTCTTTCTCTTTCTCTCTCTCTCTCTCGCTCTCTCGACTCGCCGGTGTCGCTTCTTAAATAATTGCAATCGTAACAAACACTCGTAATACTCGCGCGATAAACTTGCCATATTAAAATTATCCATCTATGATATATATGTATATATAAATATACATATATTAAATACAATATAAATGCATCTAATACTAGTCGCTCCTCCTCGATCAGCCATCTCCCGTACCCCGATTTATGCGATCACGCTCGCTCGCGCGCTCTCATTCTCTCGCTCTCTCTCTCTCTTTCTTTTTCTCTCTACGTTCCCCGACAAATCTTTCGCCTAACAATTCGTACACTCGCTCTATCTCTTACTCTCGTGCTTTCACACTTCGTTCTCTCTCCCAATTTCTCGCATCGTTCTCAGCCGGGGTTCATCGCGGTGCACCATCATCGTCATCGACGGTCGCGAGTACATACGCTCTTGGTCGCTTGTCGTGTGATCGTCGGGCGTCGGATAAATTTCGTGCGGTCAATGAAAACCTTGAAGCCAATGCCCTGCACCAATTCGCAAATCGAATTAACGGTGCGCGTTCGGATGTTGCGACTTCTTTCGATTTGCTTCGAGAAAATTTCGCGAATAAGAAATGTGCCCTACCAGCTCGTTACAGAATGGAGGATGGCGGGTAGGAAACGCTACCACATCCTCCTCACGGTTCACGCTAATTGTCCTTGCGCGTTTGTTGTTCGATTCTGTGTTTGCCGAGCTTCGTCGCCAGCGTAAACGCCGATTTCAATGGGAAAATTTAACGTCCTGGAGCTTCGGCTCAAAAACCCGCACGACCTTTTTCCGCTGTCCTCGAAGCGTAGTTACGCGAGCCTGTACCCTCTGTTCGAATCGTTCGGGAAAGACAATCTGGCGCGTTCGCGCGACCTTAGCGCTTGTTCCCCTTATCTCGCATCGCCGAGTAATTGTCCGAGAGGTCGATACAGGAAATTGATAACGAATACTGTCATACTGGAAGATCGACGCGGAGAGTCTGATGCGCGTTTCCACGCGCGATTCGATGGAGAAGTCGGATCGGTGCGAGAACAGAAGGGAACCAGCCGTATCGTGCGATCGACCGCGACCCGGTGACCGATCGATTTCTCGATCGCGAACGCTCGTGACCGAGGTGTCGAACTTCCGACGAATTGATCGACATTTGTTACGGATTCGTAGGTACAATCGCGTAAACCATTGATTAAATAAATAGGAGATATATAAAGTCGAGCGCGATCGTCCTTCGGTCGGTCAACGGGTAAAACAGCGATCAACCCGAACAGGTGCGTGAAAACTGTTACAGGCGAGGCGAGGATGGCAGCGTGTGAATAATCAGCGTACCTTCAATGGCGAACGGATGTTATCGCGAAAAACGCACAAGTCTGGCCGTGCATAATCTGTTCGCCGATTTGCAGTTTTCCTGGTCGACTAGAAAAATGTTTGCGCAAAGCGAGATTCGAAATAGAATTTAGACCCGCGGATATGCTTAGAATTAAAAAACGTCTGTGTTCCGTTAAATCAGGAGAAGACTTGACGAGGTTGATAAAACCGTGTCAGTTTTTCGTTATCAGTCGTTGCGAATCTTTCGCGAATTTTCGCGCGCTTTCTCTCTATTTTCTTTTTTTTTGGCCTTTTTCACAAAGTTTTTCCTTTCATTCTCGCGTATATCGATACACGATAACGCTCTGTGTTTTACGAAATATCGATAGAAAAAGATATCGCTGCTACACGGAATGATGGGCACCGTATTTCGTCTCTCTCACCCCCTTCTAGCTATTCTCCACTTCTTCTCCATGTTCTCTAGGTATCCCGTTTAGTTTATTTCTTTTTTTTTGTCACGCAAGGCTCTTTGTAGCACTCCTTCGTTCTTCTTTCTTTACTGTTTTTCATTATTTTGTGTTTTTCGTTAATTGCAATAAATGCCAATAAGCCGGTGCAGATCAGCGTATATACGACTATATTATAGGTACATAGAATATATATGAACTGCAACGTTACTCTTCTCACGCTCCATGAGAATCGTACGGGAGACGATAAAAAAATATAAGAACGGAGAATAATATACAATATCAATATCAAACACGATCGAACGTTCAATCGTCGTGCGGTCAGAGTGTGGAATTTCGTTGAGTCGGTTCTGCGTGAAATAGAAAAATCGTAAAATTTCTAAAACGCTTCAAGTTGATAGGTGTCAACACCGTCCACGAAAAGATGACATAAATTACGACAATGGGGGATGCCGGGGACCCCACTCCTAGGTATAGCCCATGTATACTAGATAGATGGGATTTCAAGTGATAGGAAATAGATTCTTACAAGTTTCTCCGTGCCCCATCTTTTCGTGAACCGGCAGTGCGTGTCCATGTGCGTGTTCATGTATGCATGCATGTGTGAACCTATGTTTGTCGGATGTATGTATATATGTATGTATGTATGTAACTCTACATACATATGCATGTTTGTATGAATGTATGTATATATGAGCGAAAACGGTACTCGCACCGTTTCAGGATTCGTTTGATTCGTTTAATCGTTTGATTCGTTCGAAGTCGCGGCAGTCGATCGGTGGACCGCTTCACGTTTTCATCTTGTTTCTTTTGGGTTCGGTTTACTTTGCATTATCTTTCCTTTGCGTCTCGCGGAACCATTGCATGTCTCTTGGAATGTAACAAGCTGTGCGTATCGATTTCATATGTACACGGAAAAAATGTCGGTGCTGTGTGTGTGTGTATGTACGAAAGCGTGATTAAATCAGACTGGATACAGGAATTTCGAGTTTTCAGCCTCGCAATGTGCCGTGTGCAGCGCGGATTCGACCGTCAACAACTGCGCTATGAAGGCGATTTGAAATAGGTGAAACGCGGAGAATGTGAGGCGCAGTCGCCGGCTCGAATCCCAGTCTCTAAATCGCGTCTCAGACTAGAGGAATCCTTTCTCAGAAATATGATGATCGCGATTGGTTGCGACGAATCTCGACCGATATTTACATAAATTAATAGTCGTTGGTTGTCCTCGATCGGCGAAGCGTGGGTGAGGGATGGATGTCGGCGCGGTTTTACGTTGCCTGGGATTATCATCGACGATGAACGATTATTCGTTTACACGGTGATCGTGCAATCCCACCGAAAAAGTACACGCGTTCTCGAACGTAGTAGCATTGAACTCTACCGAGGCGGTTCATGATCAAAAATTGTCTGTTGTGCGTCGAATTGGCAGAATTAGTAATCGATTCTTCTTATCCATAAATTGGAACGTCGCTTACCATCGGTCTAGCAAACAACGAAAGGGTACGGTTTTACTTAGAATGCTAGGCTAGATAATAATGTACTTACGCACAAACGTGCCTGATATACACGGGGTATAAGTCCGCTTCACTCTCGCGAATACGTAGTAAAAAAACCTGTGTTGCGCGCGCGGCCATCGACACGATCGTTTCGGTTGTCCGACCTACGCGATACATTGTTCTCCCTATCTTCCTCCCATTGTTGCTTTCCTCGAGTCTGGCCCGGCGTCACGTCTTTATCTTCTGCTCAACTCCGCCCTCACCGCTGAAACCGTTTCAAAAACAAACAAGGCATGAGCAAATTCCTTAAATCATCTCGTATCTCGAACCCTTACCGTCCACGATCTCCTGCTTCATCTTTTGAAACTCTTTGCGCACTTCCTTGATAATCTCCGCCTTAAACGCCTCCATTTCTTGGACGGTGAGCACGGCTCCGTCGTTCACGCCGTTCACTTTCAGCAAGGTGTCCTCGGACGCGGAACCGAACCTTTTGCGAACCGACTTCGGAGATTCGGCGCCGTTCGAGAATTTATTGTTCGACGAGTTCTTGTCCCAAGACTTCTTGTCGGGCGAGCTTTCCGGTTCCTGCGGAGGCAAGCGATACATATGAGTTAGCTTATAAACGAGATTTAAATGTTCTAAATCGCAGCGAAGCGTGTACCTGCGGTTGCTCCGGTTGCTTCTTCTCAACAGCGGCTCGTCTTCGCGCCAGGGTCTTCGCCATCTCGTCCATCATGGAAGCCATACCGCCGCCTCCTCCTCTGCCCAAGGTACCATAATTTCCACCGCTACCAGTGCTTCCGCTGCTGTTGCTGCTCGAGCCACTGTTCTCCACAGATTGCTGCGCCGACTGAAACCACGCAAGGATCATCGGTTAAAGAATGAAAACAATTGAAGGACTGAACAAATGGGCAAATTGCGAACCTGCTTCTTCTTTAAACGAGCCGCCTGAAGAGCAGCGGCCAATGAATTGGCGTCTGGAGGTGGATCCGCGTTACTGTTGGAACTCATTGACCCGGTGACACCCGGCGGATTAAGACTTAGAGCGTTTGCGTTTGGTGCAGGTGGCGGTGGAGGTGGTGGTGGTGCAGCGGGTCCGGTCAACGGTACCATAGGTGGCGGTTGAGGACCACCGCTGCCAACAGGCCCGTAAACGTTCGAATTGACTGTCGGCCCGTGGATCCCACTAGCAGCGGAACCCGCACCGCCGCCACCACCAACGTTACCGCTATTATACTGATTCACGGAGTTCGCAGGTGTTCCGTAGGGGTTTGTGGCATTTGACGCAGCCTGCACTTGACCAGTACCGTACTGTGGCTGTGCTTGAGACACGACACTGTACTGAGACTGATTCGGCTGAACATTCACGCCTGTTCCAACGCCGACACCAACCACGTACTGCCCAGTCGTTGCTGCTCCACTACTGGCATACTGACCAATCGAATTACCACTCGCGTATTGGTTTCCACCAGCACCCCCAGTGCTTCCGCCAGCACCACCGCCACCGCTGCCATACTGACTCTGTTGTCCTGGCTGTCCACTTGAATACGCGTTGCCTATTTGCCCATTGTTGCCATAGAAGTTATTCTGACTCCCAGAGGAGTACTGACAAGGACTCTGACCGACCACTGTGGCTGTTGCATACTGATTACTGTTTGCCGGTGTACCATACTGATTCCCCTGCCCGCTGCTATAAATAGACTGAGCCTGAGGCTGACTCGGCAAATTCGTCTGAGACGACGGTGACTGCGCGTACTGGTTCATCATCATCGGAGGCGGTGGTACTGGTGTGTTGAAGTTCATCATCGCCGGCGGACACGGTGGTACAGCGGTTGGCATCGGTGGTTGAGGAGGTGGAACCGGGGGAGTACCGCCGCTCGACATCTGCCCAGTTGCTGTCCCTAATCCACCAACCGGCTGAATCGTCTGCATCACGGATTGTTGAGGTTGCGGCGCTGGCGGTGCTGAAGAAGTTCTATGGTGACCCGATTGCGGTTGCGGTGGTTGTTGTTGCAACGGTGGCTGCTGCGTTTGATGCTGCTGCTGCTGTTGTTGCGATTGTTGCTGAGGCAGAGGCGGGGCTGACGGTTGCTGCTGCTGCGGCTGTGGTTGCGGTTGTTGAACTTGAACTTGTTGGGGTGGCTGCTGTTGCTGCTGTTGTTGCTGGGGCACTTGCTGTTGCTGCTGCTGTTGACTTCCCAGAGGACAGCTGGGAGATATTGCGTTCGGACTGCCAGTTGCTGGAAGGAAAATGCGGTTTTCATTCGGCTCAGAGTGTGAATCCTGCGGCTTCTATCTATATCATACAGGGAAATACGATAAATACAATACCCTGACTTTGTTGAGACATTCTGCGCTCCTGAATTATCGCCACGTCTTCTCTGGTCATAGTTCTGTATAAAGAAGAAAAGTTTTTAGTCATACTGCATAGAAAATTCTGTGGAATTGCAAAATTGCGAACCTGTAGCCCATATCCTCGTCGTATTGAGCATTTCCTTGTTGCTGTTGCTGGAAAACAGGTTGCTGTTGAGTGGTCGAACCAACCGCGGGAGCAAGACTTCTAGATATGTTGCTTCCATTGCTCAGGACCTGAAAAGATCAACGTAAAAGTTAGCAAACGACTAGGAGAAGACTTTGTCAAAAGGTTTTTAGTTTTTCACTGTTTCACTCACATCGAGCGCCTGCAGCATCGCCCTAGCAAACGCGTCGGCGTCGTCCTTGCTGGAGAAATTCAGGCCGTACACTTGCTTGTTGTCCCTCCATTGATGAAACGTGACCGTCGCCTGATTATACTTCAGACCCTTGAGAATCGCGCAGTTGATGACGATCTCGTGATCCTGCAACTTCCGTCCGACCACGCGAAATGTGTTGTTCACCAAGTGATGATACAGCTGGACCTTGGAGAGCCCCGAGGAGCTGCCGCTTGGCACCCATTTCTTATTAACGTCATCGTACACCATTACCGACGCACGAGCGGACGATATGCTCACTTCGCTGAAACAGGAGCAAAAAGGATTATTACCGGTCCCTCGAATTCGGCTCGGTTTTCGGATTTTGTTACCAGGATTGATAGTCCCCTCGACGCGGCAGAAAGCGCTGGCTATCGCGAGAATGTCTCTCGGAAGTCATCGCTGAGAGAAGCTTACGAGAAGAATTTGTAAGAAGCGGTTCGCATGGCTTTAAGGATGATGAAGTGATTCGCGTGTTCTCGCAACGGCGGAAGAACCGACGGATTCCATCGAGAACGGTGTTACGCTCGATGTCACTTTCACCGTGCCACGAGCTACGAGCCGAGTTGTTGGACGGATTGCTCGCGAAACCAGAACAGAACGGAGCGGAATACGAAAAGATACTGGCTACGTCCTCTTGCCACAAGCCAGGAACGAGCTGGCGTTACGATAACGAGCAGAGCAATATCCGTGAAACGCGTAACCATTTTTAACCAAGCGGTTTCCAATTCCTTCCGTTTAAATGTTTCCCTTCTCCCGTAAACGTTTCTCGGAATACCCTTACTCATCATTTACAATGTCCCAACTTCAAATTTTGACTACCGGAAGTGCTAAATGCACTCACCACCTATTCGTGACTCACGAAACCTTGAAAAAAAATTCCAACATAAGATCGGATTTAAAAAATTTTTAATTTAATATTAATAACCGTACCATCGCCGGTAAATGACCGATTCGGGAGTTCTTATTCTACAATTAGTAAAATTATAAGGACACTTCAACCGTAAATCGTTAAATAAATTTATTCATTTGAACACATATTAATATAAAAAATTGGATAAAATCTACATAAATTCCGGAGCAGAATTTTTATATTACGGAGCCGTAGAGACAAGTAACGCCTCGCGCACATAAACATAAGCGTCAAACTTATATCTCTCCATTTTGCATTGGGCATTCAAAACAAATAACGATATTCCGTTCGATGCGTGTCGGTTTTGATATGAACTATCAGTACAACTAGCCCTGACGCAATTCTACATAAACTGCAATTTTATAAAAGTATTGCACAATAACACATTCATAATAACTATAAATTTTGCAATAATATCAAGGAAGCTCAACACTGTTGACAAACAGAATATCAAATGCTATTTCTCTGTTTCCCGAAGTTAGTAGACCGAAGAGGTGTGTGGATCACGATTACAACAAGTATATCAAACTATACATCTATTTTGTCTGTGATATGTAGAAATTTCTGTTCAACTCTTTCGATATATCGTTACAACGTGCGTTATCGCAAGGTGATCCGAATGATACATCCGTAAATGTATTCCCCTCTCTCTTTCTGTCTCAATAATAAAGATATAAACGTGTCACGAAAGTATGTAATCTAAGGTATTTCATGGAATCATTTGAACCAGATATGAATCACTCACCCGCGGTGAATCAGGAATCGGTGCGCGGTTATCGGGAATTTCTATAATGACAACACCAATTACGACATGTTTTTTTCTTTTCGAATACCGGAAGTACCCGAGCGAATTGTCGTGAAATCATTGAGATAATCTTTAAGTGACAGCGTAATTGCGAATCGCACGCGCCTGCGTAAGAATGGACGCTTCGTCGGACATAAACAAACGAGTGACATACAATTTTTCGTGGTTGTATTTTCATCCCGGCCTGGCTCGTTCGCGTATGCTTACACACTGCAACTGATGCACACGCCGGGGAAAAAGAACATGGAACGAGCAAAGAGAAGATGAAGCACGGTTTCAGCTTTGGAGCATGCATAAAGACTTCGGAACGCGAAGCACGAGACACAAAGTGTGTCCCGAATAACGTCGGAGAACCGAATTGCTAATTCAAACTCCACTAGTCGACGCTTTACCACGAGTTTCCTAAACGTCATTAACTGTAAACCGTGGGATTTCTGTACTCGTCGTTGTAACATCATCTATTGACAATTTTGAGAAAGTAAACGATCTTGTTTAACCCTTCCCCAATCCATGCGCGACGTTTTTTAGCAACAATAACACGCACTGTTAAGTACATTTAAATGGATGATATATGCCTCGGAATTGTATATTCTATGGACAAAAAATAATATCCTACCGATACGTCAAATAAATAGGTAAAATAATGAAATATTTTTGCTTTTGTCTCATAGTATATTCCATATTACTGTACATTGTGAATATCTTTAATGTTTTAGACGAATAGTCTCGCAGCACGTACAAGTGGCTAGCTGGATATGGGCTGTTTGCGTCATTGTCAGTTGATCGCCTTTATCGAAAGGTTAATAAATATGATAGTACAATCCAAAAATCAATGGAAATCGACCGACGAAACGACCGAATAGAACACGCTTAACAAAATACTCCGGCGCCGAACGGGAAACGATCGAGAAAAAGCTAGAACATGAGCAGAAACGTTCTCGACGAAAAATGATATCATTATCAAAGTTCTACCCCCCTGGAAAAAACTGAATGCTATACTCTGGGCAAGGATCTTCCCCCTTTGCGAGTAAAATGAAAATGCCGAAACGCCGTTACGAAACGTCGAAGAAAAATGAGAAGATCAATGTCATCGCGCGAGAAGAAAATCGAAATTATGGATCGCATGATCGCGTACAGGCGTGGACAACGATCGTGGACAAAACGGACCAGTGATCGAAGCCATGAACCCGAGAGACTGGAATCGAGACTCGGGCTTCTCTTTTCTTTGAATGCTATGTCACGTACGTAGAACTTACTTCATGTTTGTCTGACTTGGAAGCGTATGCTATGCCTTCATGCAAGCCGTATTCCTGCTTCTGCACAATATATCGCCGATTCCATGAAAACACGCAAGATTCGGGCAGGATTTACGGTAATTCGACATAAATAACGCACAGGACACTAACACCACCCCAACACCCTGCCTATGCACATCTGGCCGGCCATATTGCCGACTCCAAGCCCATACTCCTACCCTACCACCCTTCGTCTCGATGCACTCGTGCCTACTTAGAGGGGGTCACTCGAATAAAGAACGTTACCCCATCGCGCCATATTTGCTACCGAGGCGAAACTTCGATACCCCGTCCATCCTCAACCGACGCGTACGCGTCGGTAAGTGGATTCAAATACGCACACGTACTATGAATACAGCTTGAAAATTACTTATTTTTAAGTTTAGTCAAAATTTTCAGGACTATCATAGACAAATACAAGCTATAAAAGTATCGGTTTGATTAATTTGTTTATGCAAAAGACTGACTCTATACGTTTGTAATTCGTATCTGTAATTCTGAAGCTGCGTTGGCGAACGGTACGACAGTAGGTGAACAGACTGTTGGTGAACAGTACAGACTTTACGCATGCGCACTAAATGTTGAATCTACTTAGAGACGCATGCGCAATGGAAATTAATTTTTAAAAAAAGAACAAGACACATTTTTGTAAGAATATTTCGAAATAATACATCGATCCGTGTTCGATTACACACATAGATTAAGTTCGACACTGAAAAGTTGTCTATCGCACCGCAAAAAATATGAATCTTTTACGCTCATTGTTGCGTTCGACTATCGACTTCATGTTGTTAAGACGACAGAGTTCGTCGATCTATCGAACGTCATTTTAACAAATTCAACCGCAGTTGCGATATAATGCGAGATAATAAGGTTGCAATCGAAACAGACCTGTGAAATGATACTTTTTAATTATGTATAAATCTTCTCGCAAAGAATGTAAAAGTAACTTGAAATTTCTGATGACGATTCAATTCATTTTTCTCGCTCGATACATTGAATATTTGATTGGGAAACTTTTTATAATAGATCACGAACGATAGCGAACTGCAACTTGAAATATTCGTTCCGGTGATTAAAGAGCGATTACTCGTAGATAATAAAAAGTCGAATTTCATATAAACCGCCTGCAAATGTGTAACGGTAGATGGCGCGACAATTTGAGTTCAACTTGAATACACGGGAGTTTCCACGGGTTTCTGTCGCCGACGCACCTGGCGCATCGACCGAGAAACAGAAACAGCTGTCCGTGGCGAAGCAACTTGAGGAATATCGTTGGTTAATCGTCGATCCAGAATTCTGTGGATCCTTGGCCGCGTGTCGTGAGATGCGGAGGAGGAGGCCCCAGGGTATCGTGTCTGTCATTGTCCGCGTTACGAACCTACTTCTCGCTTCACCACTCTTCACCACGCTTTAGGCGCTCGCTTCGACAATAACGTGCTTGCCTTTTATTTTTTTCACTTCTACGATCTGGAACCTTTCTCCCTCTTAGTCTCTCTCCTTCTCTCTCTCTTTTCCCTCTCTTTCATTTACTCCTTGTATGTTCCCCTTCCTTTAGTTGCTTGCTCTTACGTTACCTTTCTCTCTCACACTTTGTCTCTCTCTTTCTCTCTTTCTCTGTCCAACTGTTCCCTGTGCTCCTTTCTCGCAATATCTCTTTCTCTCTCTCACTCACTCTTTCTCTCTGTCAATGCCTATCTCTCTTTTTCCCTTTCCTTTTTACTCTCGAGTCTCGAGAGATCTCTGTACGCTTCATCGACGATGTAAACAGAGCGATCGCTTTTGGATAAAATTCGTTCGTCTCTCGCTCCGCCTCGTGTGCTGTTTGCGCGTGTATTCGTATTACGTTACCGTTGCCATCGTCGCTACCGTTTGTGCGTACACAAAAGTGACGCGCGTGTACCCGAAATACGCGCGCATCGACGTACAACGACGCGTAACAGATCCTCGGTGACGGTGTCTCTGATCGTTACGAATAATTTTCGGAGCCGACGATTCGGCCGTGGGAAAAGTCTTGTCCACTTTTCAACGATCATGATTCTGCTCCGTCGATGTTCGTATCCTCGACGAGGTTATACGTGAACGATCTCCCGCGCTTCGAACACTCCCGTCTCCCACTCGTGTACGAAATGGAGTAATGTAAAATTGGATCACCTCGAACCCAAATACCGATCAAACATCTGTTTCTGTTTCTCCGAAATATTATGCTTATCCGGTCAGTAAAGGGTTTCGAAAGATTTGGAAACTTTGATGACAGCAACCTTGTGCTCTCTTTTTCAGCTTGACCCAATATGTGCTTGGAGGTAATGGTACAGCAAAAGGAATAAGCCCTGCTGGATCTGGGTGAATTAAGCTCCGCATTTTTTAGATATTTATAGTTTTACAAAATTGGCCCGGATGGAAAGTTGACAGATGATTCCAGATCCTATATTATGATATTACTGGGTTTAATGACTTCTTGTATTGTTACCTGCAAGTATATCTTGCTTTTGTTGTCATAGCTTTGGCTACTTATACATGATAACAAGTTGTCTATACCTGCTAACGTTGTTTCTACAAGGGAACATGTTTGCATTTGCTGTTGCAGCTATATAATTATGACTAAAGTGTAAACACACCTACATGGAACATCAGATATGAATAAGCAAATATGGGAGCGTTACCGATACACATAAGGTTTAGCTATCGTAAGCTTTAAGAGAGGCATGGTTTATGAGAATACAGAAGAAGTTGATCAGCGAACAAAATCATAAGGAATGGTATTCTATTGGATTCTATTGGATGTTAGATAAGCCAAAAAATGTCCGGTGATTCAGGATGGAGCGCTGTCATTCACCATCCTTCGGAGTTAGAACTACAGAACTGGAACTGGGAAGAAAACGATGGGGAGCAGGAAAGAGAACTTCCTTCAACCGTTGACATGGATGCCATAAAAGGTGGAGGTAGCTGGGATCCAACCACTGAACCTAATGGTATCCAACCTGTTTCTTTTATCAGTTTGCTTCATACCCTTACTTGGAAATCTGAAATACAAATATTTGTTTCACACAGGAACACATTCTGTCGATTCCGAAGAAGATTCAGATTCCGAGGACGAAAGTTCTGGTGGTACAGAAGGCAGTTGCTCTTATTCGGATACGAATTCTGACTCAGACGACGAGAGCAGTGGGGACGAAGAAGAGGAAGATACAGGTTCAAATTCGGATTGCACGTCTGAGCGCAGCGAACAAACGTTTTCCATTCAAGAAACCAATTTCGAATCGGTACGTTCAAGAAGGATTAGTTTATACATTTATCTACTATAAAATAACTTTCATTCACCTTGCAGGGTGCGCTTAAATTAAAGATCACTATGAAAGGACCGAAGAAAGAGGATGTGGAAAAGACGCGATGCGATAAGACCAGGAGAAGCTTAACGAAGAAACTTAAAACAAATTGTGCGACGAAGGTAAACGATTGTATTCTAAATAGATTGTCGAGGAGTAATCGCCCTTTGCCGACAATTTCTTCATTTTCTAGTCATCGGAATGCAGCAGTGACGACTCTGACTCGTCGGAGGGTCGCCTGCCTTCGCCTAATAATACACAACAGCAACAGCAGCCGCAACAACAGCAACAACAACAGCAGCCGCAGCAGCAGGAACAACAACCGCAACAGCAACAGCATCCTCCTCTTCAGGAGATAAATCAAGAGGATCTAGCGGCCATCCTACCGGATCAAGAGCACGAGGACGCTCCGTTCGACGGATTCGAGGACTCGGAAAGCGGTCGGCTGGTATCGAAAGCTATAGAACGAATGTCGCTCGGGGCTGACTCGGATACGAGTGAGAACGGCGATCAGAATCCTGTACCTGTGTATAGTTCAACTTTATTGCAGCAGTTCGTCGAGAAAACGGCTCTGTTGTCGGAACCACGGAAGAGACGGAGCAAAGCGAACAAAAAGCTGAACGATCCCGAGTATCCTTGCGCTTCGAACGTGTCCCCGGATTCGGGAATTCAGTCGGTGGACAACAGTCCGCTGCATCTGGCAATCAGTCCTGTGAGCCCACCAGCTCCGACACAGTCGCCGATTCAGACCGTGGTTCCAAAACCAGCGGTGAACGTGGATCGAGTCCTGTATCCGCCCAAACGGAAGCCCGGCAGACCAGCGAAAACAGTGTCGACGCAACCGCGTGGACCGGGCAGGCCAAGGCTGAAGCCAGAAATAGTGGAAAAGATCGAGAAGATAGAGAAGACCGAGAAGGTGGAGAAAAACGAGAAGAAGGAGACAACGCCACAACAAAAGACTCCGAAGGAGGAACCTAGTAAAAAGGGAAAATCGAAGTCGACACAGCATAAGACCAATGTGTCCCGAGAACAAAAGGAAGATGAAAGCAGTGAATCGGCGAAGAAGTTGAAAGAGAAGCCGGTTTGTCAAAAGAAACGTAACTGTAACGTTTCAAAACAATTCTCGCAGGGGAGGATAAGCGGAAAGAGAAACAACGCAAGTTCTCCCACGCGCGTTAAGTGCCTAAGTAGAACTGTAACGAGTAAGTACGGGAAGGATGCAAGTCAATGCGATGGTAGGATGTGCAAGAAGATGAGGAAAGATAAGCCGGGTGCAAGCAACCGGGCTGCGATATCGTTGCGTCGGCAGAAACAGTCTTCTTGTGAGAGAATCGCGGCTGATAGGAAACCAGTCAACTCTGGTAGGAGGAGTCTAAAGGAGAACAGAAACAACTCCGGCCCAACGTCGAAGAGGCAAAATCTACTCAAGAAGAACGTTGCACCGGTGACACGGCGAGTCCTAAAGGAGAACAAAAATAGCAAAAGGACATCAACTACGTTTGAAACGAATGGAGTCGGAGTCCAGACTCTGATTTCGCTACCGGTTGGTCAAGTGCTCAAATCGGAGAAGGTCGAGCGCTCGAGCAACAAGTGCGACAAGGCCACACAACCCATACACAATCATTGTCATAAGCACCATCATCATCACAAGCACCGACGACGATTGAGCCCTCCAAAGACTCCGATCCGCATCGATCCATGCATAATTCAGGAATTGGAAAAACTGATCGAAGAGTTCGCCAGATCATGCAGTTTGGGTCGGAACAACACGAGCGTCGGTTACTCCGAGCTACCGCAGATCTTCCGCGTGAAAAAGTTGACTAAGAAGAGGAAAGGTGACGTCGCGTCGAGCGACGACCAGAAACTGAAAAGACGCTCGAAGAAGGAGAAGATGCCGGCAGGAACCGATTCGAAGAGTGGCGTGAATGCGACCGCGAACTCGAACCCCAATGAGCAGAGGCTGCCCTTGAAGAAGAGGCATTATCATGTTTCCAGCCCTCACAGCTCCCAAAGCTCGAACGCGAGCTCCAGCGATCCAACTGCCAATGAGAGCAATTGCACCGAGAGTCACATAGAGGAGGCCATCGAGGCTGCGATCACGAGATACGGGGGTGGCAGTTCCACTTCCTCTTCTCAAGACGACACTGTGCCAGTCACCCCGAAGAAGAGACACAGAGACGCAGAGACTTCGAGCCCCGACAAATCTGCGACTGCCTCTTCAGAATCCCTGGAAGAAAAACCGCTCAGTCAAGCGGAGATACAGCCTCGTCGGAAGAAAAAGATTGTGAAGGACCTTAGAGTCACGGTGACAAAGCTCCCCGTTGAGAGTAGTCACTCTGACAGAGCTGAAAAGTCGGAGAGAGTTGATGGGAAGGTAGAAAAAACAGATAAATATGTCGGCGAGTTGAAAAAGAGTCACGCCGCCGACAAAAACTGTGGTAAGAATGAAAAAACAATTAGCGAGAAATCTATTAAGTCTGACAGAAGTCAAGCCACAGAGAAGGTAGAGAAGCATGAGCAGTCCTTGTCAGATCACGTTCGCCTAGAAAAGAACATCAAGACAGATGCCGTGGAGTTTAATGCAACTGAGAGCTACGAAGACAACGAGACCGCTGGGGAGAGCAAACCGCCGCGAGATAACGTTGCACCGAACCTGCCTAATCCCTTGAACTCTACAGCCGCTGCCGCGCTAGTTCTCACCAAGAAGAAGATGAGGCGGCGCAAAGCGATCAACCGCACCGGCTTTCCGACCTTGAAGAAGAAAAAGAAAAAGAAAAGATCATTAAGTGCGAGCGAGGCTGGTACAGCGACAAAAGCTGCTCTAACCAGCGACGACAATGCGGATTTGGATCCGGATCTAGACGGTGGCCGAAGTTCATCCAAAGAAGGAGTCGAAGATGCTATCGAAGAGAGCAAACCGACTGTGTTGAGCCCAGAAATTCGAGAAATTTCATCCGGGGGAAGCCTGGACAAGCGCACCACGGACGGGAGCGTTGGGCAAGCAGTCAAATTTGCTTTGGAAGTCTCTGATTCGACAAAGCGGGAGGGATCGTTCCGAGCTTGCGCAGCCGAGCTCACAGAGTCTCGAGCTGGTCAACTGAGGGTTAGGAAAGACTTAGTGGAGGTAGATAGCGACGAGAACGCGACGCAGAAGTTCTGCCCCGTGAAGTTTGAGAAGATTCAGGATCTGAGGACGTACGACGAGAACGCGCCCTTGGAGGAGTCTTTGGAGAGGTACGAGGCAGCTCAGCAACAGCAACAATGCGCCGCGGAGACCTTGGAAGAGAACTCGAAGCATCCTCCTGAACGGGCTGTCGCTCAGGCGAATATCAAGACCGAGCACTCGGTTCCATTGAATGGAAGCCAAAAGAAACGACGCGGTTCTGCTAGTCCTTGCACCCTGGCGCCCAGAAACGTGAAACGTTTACGCAGCTCGGGCTACGATACTGAGAATGATAACTCGTCGAATAATAATGTTCTTGAGACTGGGAGGAACTCTACTGCGACACATACCAGGAAGAAACAGTCCAGGTGGAAGAAACGATACCTGCAAGGTGGAGTCCTGCAGGACTTCAGCAAGGACTGCGAGTCGAAGACGAGGAGTGGTGGTAGCGGAGCTGTCGAGGTTCCAAGGAAGCACAAAATGGATAACGACGCGAGTTCCGCTGTTCTTCTATCGGCTTCGTATCAGTGCGGCAAACTCTTGCGCCAGAGGAAGATGTCGTTCCAATTGCGGTACGATTTATGGTGGTTGCACACGCAGTCCAGACTGCCTGGCAGAGAATCAGTACCATCTTGGAACTACAAGTAAGATCACTTATAATGGAAGATCGGTATCTGATGGAGACCACATATTTATATTTTTTCTTGTGCACAGGAAAATTCGTATGAACGTTTACTACGACGTGAAACCGACCACGCTCTACGAGGCTCAAGCATGCGAATGCAAACCGGAAAGCGGCTGCGGCGACGACTGTATCAATCGCATGGTTCTCAGCGAATGTTCCCCACAACTCTGCCCATGCGGGGACAAATGCGAGAACCAGAAGATTCAGAAGCACGAATGGGCACCTGGTTTGCAGAAATTCATGACAGAGGACAAAGGTTGGGGCGTGAGGACCCACCAGGCCATCAAATCAGGAGTCTTCATCCTTGAGTACGTGGGAGAGGTCGTGTCCGAGAGGGAATTTAAGTCCAGAATGGCGACTAGGTATACTGACAGAATATATCTATATGTAAAGAGAATACATGGTCGCCTAGCTAGAGTATAAAGAGTGTAAAATTGTTTTAGGTATGCAAACGATACGCACCACTATTGTCTTCACCTTGATGGAGGTCTTGTGATCGATGGTCACCGAATGGGAGGCGACGGACGCTTCGTGAATCACTCTTGCGAGCCTAACTGCGAAATGCAGAAGTGGAGTGTCCACGGGCATCCCCGTATGGCGCTGTTCGCTTCCAGAGATATCAAGCCGGGGGAAGAGTTAACTTACGATTATAATTTCGCCTTGTTCAACCCATCCGAAGGACAGGAATGTAGGTGTGGTAGCAGTGCCTGCAGGGGTGTGATAGGTAATGAGATTGAATCAAAATAAGGAAGTTTAACATCCGTTTAGTCAATTAAATTGAAACATACACGTTTACTTTATAGGTGGAAAGAGTCAGAGAGTTCCGAAAACAGTTGTTCCCCTTCCATCTCAGTTAGAACCAACAGAAAGACGGTCGGTTGGCAGGCCAAGGAAGAACGTGCGTAAATCGAACGCGGTGCAGTCCGTCAACTCGAAAAGCATTTGCAAATCGCGAAAAGTAGGCGACTCGAGTCTGTTCCACGCTCCTGCGTTGAAGCCGATGTCTCATCAACAACGATGTTTCGCGCAACAGCATCACTGTTTTCTGCTGAGGAACTTAGAGAAGGTGAGGCGGGTGAAATCATTGGTGAACCAAGTACAAATGCAAAACGGCAAGGCGAAATTCGGCAACGCTGGTACCTTCAAAGAGAAGAGTCCTGGCGATGCGAAAATCCAATCCGACGCGTTCTTTTCGCAACTAACTGCCCTGACCAACACCAATACGCGAACGGTGCGGACGAGGAGGTTGGCACAAGCGCAAGACGATCCAGAGGTGCATAAAACCGCGAAGCTGGCGAAGGTGAATGAAACGAACTTAGCAAATCTGTTACATAGTCTTGTTTGGAACAGAATCTTTAACGGGTTTTCATTTTTCAGGTGTTGAAAGACTTATACAGCGTCGTGGCAACAGCCAATGATGAGAACGGGCAACTGCTGTGCTCGCCATTCATAACATTGCCCTCGAAGAGAAAGTTACCGGATTATTACGAGAAGATAACAGACCCCATAGACCTGACTACGATCGATCAATGCATTGGAACAGGCCACTACAAAACCGCTGAGCACTTCGACCACGATATGATCAAACTTTTCGACAATAACGTCCGGTTTTTCGGTAGAACCTCGGAGTTAGGTATCGCTGCGGCCAGATTAAGGAAATTGTATCTTGGAAGTAAACCTGATTTCGTAAACGCAATAACGGAGGCCATAGGTTGTCCTCCTTCTCAAGGATTCTTACCCCCTAGAGGATCTACTGCTGGGGAGGAGGATGTTATTAGGTGTATATGCGGTTTACATAGGTGAGAGAGTTAAAAATCTGCTAACTGGAAATGCAAAATCTATGATGAACAATTTTAGTAAATGGAAAATTCTTGTCTACACAGGGACGAAGGTCTGATGATACAGTGCGAGCGTTGCCTTGTCTGGCAGCACTGTGACTGCGTGAAAGCCGACACCAGTATCGAGTCATACTTATGCGAAAGATGCCAGCCGCGTCCCGTTGATTTGGAAATACCTCTAGAAGGAGACGAAGAGGAGGAAGGCAAAAAGCATTATGTCACCCTAATGCGGGGAGATCTGCAGCTCAGACAAGGAGACACGGTGTACGTGTTAAGAGACACGCCGGAGAAACATACGTACAAAACCATTCAAAAGCCTGATTACGAACAAATGGACATCTTCAGAATCGAGAGGCTTTGGAAGAACACAGTGTAAGGACGTTTCTAGGTAATTTTATCATTGTAGACTCTTATAGATGCTCATGTCATTTTGTATTTATAGGGGAGAAAGATTCGTTTTCGGCCACCACTATTTGAGACCTCACGAGACCTACCATGAACCCACTCGAAAATTCTATGAGAACGAGGTAGTTTGCGCTCCTCTTTACGAAGCAGTACCATGCGACTTGGTTGCTGAACGTTGCTGGGTTCTTGATCCCCATACTTATTGCAAAGGTACTTGCGGTTTTACTCCTTCAGACATTCATTTGCTTTTAAATTATTTTAATTAAGTTTTAATTATGTTTTCATATATATTTCTCTGTCCATTTTTCTCCGGAACGAAGGCCGACCAGTTGGATCTACGCCAGAACACACATACGTATGCGAGTATCGTGTCGACCGTGCTGCTAGACTTTTCACCAAGGTAGCCAGAGCTAGGCATCAAGTTTGCACGAAACCATACGCATTCGAAACATTTCCGCAACGTATTAAGCATTACCGAACGTATTTGGTAAGTATCGCAGCTGTAATGCACACCCCGTAAAGTGAACAAGAACTGATAATTAATACACAAAATGTTATATAGCCTCATAGTCTCGAAGGGATACAAGTTGGCAGTAAAATGAACAAAGATAAAAAGAAAATGAGTAATCAGGATCTCGACTCTAATCAAAAGTCGGAGTCGAGTGATAGCTCGAAAACGCACGGCAAGGATATCAAATCTTCTACGAGCAAGGGTAGACGACGCTCAAACGAAATCTTATCTATACACACACCTGCGACGTCCTACGCTCAGGTAAATATTTTATTATTCTCCAGTTCTTGACCATAACCTTGACAACTTATGTTAATTTCTGCTCGCAGAGAGAAGAGCAAAGGCGGAGATTGAACAACATTTTAATTGGGTTGCTTCAAAAAATGCCAAACAAGAAAGATCCATTGGATTTGTCGTTCTTGTTGGAGAGGAACCGACGGAATCGGAAGAGGCCTGGTGGATTAAATCCGTGACATTGGATTATACAGCAACGATAATGTGGCATTAATCGATGTCCGTACGTGATACGGACCATTGTTAACACGTTACAGAGGAGACGTCTGTAATCAGAGAGAGCGTTTTGCTTCGTCGTGAATTCAATTGATTCCATTCGATCCGTTTCGTGAGGGTATACGTCGAGAAAGTATTTCGCGTCCCCTTCTTCTGCACTATTAATGCAACCCGTCCATTCGTATCATATTTAATCATGTACCCCCGAATCCTGCGCTCCACTACAAAGAGCATGTCGGTCGGGATCTTTTTATATGTTGTTTTTACACGCGCGGAGCTGTAGAAAATTTCAGACGGCGGCTATAAATGTAAACGAAATCTTTTACAGTTTCCTAGCATTATCGTTTTCGCTATCCTGGATTAGCTTCTTCCGTTTCGCGCTGGTACCGCGTCGCGACAATCAAGGAGAAGATAATCCGCGATCGCCTCTAGAGTATTTTGAACTGTTGTGCCGCGTCAAGATTCTACGTATCTTTCCATCACACATAGGGGTGGATTTGTTTTTCGTAAAACGGATCGACTTGGATCGAGAATCTGGCCGTAACGCGAGAGAACGTATCTATGAAATTGGATCTAACACAGAACTGTTACTTCTCGTAGAATTCTAATCTAATTAGAATCGCGAAATTGTATAAAAGTATTTGTAAATTTCTTTCGTAATGAAATAGTATACACTTAAGTGTACAAATTATACGTTGACTGGCGATCGAATGATCGAGAGGCAGCGATACGCGTGCGCGAGTGTATAGATTACAGCCGCATGCAAAGAAGCGGATATAGAGACCGACAAGAACGAAACTAATCGTACATGCGAGGCTTTATTGCACAAAAGTACCATTATATATTTTTCATAAGCCCAGTGTTATTTGAATTAAGTGTAATATATATATAGGTTTTTAAATTAATAGATAAAACTCTACTAACATATTTAATTTATTATTGATCGCGGATCGAACATAGCTAATCATTGCTATAACGACGAATATACGCAGGATTTCGTATTTATTATTACATTTATGCAGTTAGTAAATACATACAATTAAACGCTATTTAATACGCATAAGTCTTGTTTACATCGTGGTTTTTTTTTCATTTTTCTGCACTGTATCCGAGATATTTTGTCGCATAGAAATGGTACTGTAATAACACTCTATAATTAGTTTCATTTCATGTGACCCCGTCTAACGGGTTATCGCTCAAGAAAAAGAAAGTTACTTACATCTTTGTACTTGAGTAGAAATTTATGATTTGGTCCTTCAGCGAAAATGTGCGAATTATATTAATTACGAATTTTATTTAACACAACGTTCGTATTTTAAAGAATCTCTAACAGAAACTATCATTATTCGCAATATCGATATTTTTAATTAATATAAATTTTTTGCAGGGTAAAAAATTTATTTTAAAACGTTTGATAGTTTTCACGCGATATAGAACTTATGCAGCTTCTTTAAAAATAAACAGTACAGTACTAGTTTAGGAAAGTTCCATAGTTCTCTCCCTTCGATCAAAATGCCCGTGCGATTCCAAGAATGCGTTACAAATATTGTCGGATAAATTGCAACGCGTTCATGTGTAAATCATGTTGAATTAATTTACAAATTCTTGTCCGTAGACCAACAAAAAGTCAGCGATTGTCGTTGACGATTTACGTTAAGTATGCGTGAAGACTGAATTACTGTTACAGGATATTTCTAGCGGGTAATAGCGCTGATCCGATCTGGGTTGTAAATACTTTAAACTCCAAATAAATAGAAGATATTTTTTATTTTTACGATTTAAGTTTGTACACTTTTGTCAACAAGTAAATTCTCCGATTACGAATATTAATTTGCTGATACTCTTATTCTATATTCGACCGGAAGAGAAAACAGAAAACTAATTTTGTTCAATAACTCGTTATTATTAGTACATTTTGATCGTGGCTGACTTCGAATCGTGGTAATATCCTCTGCGTATCTATTTCTTTCTACCATATCCTTTTTCAAACTACCACCCTTGGCAAAAAATATTTCATCAAACACACCGAACGTCTGAGAAAAAAATCTACTCATTCGTTGAACGTAAAACATTAAATATAAATATCTTGGATTATTTACACAATACAAAACAAAGAACTTAAACAGCAATCATGAGATCTCTTAGTCTCTAGACATTATACTAAACAGTTTCCAACTGCAACCAACACTTATCATTTTCTCTTTAATAACAAATTTTATTGCTACACGCCGAAAGCAAACCGCGGGAAATATTAATCGTCTTTCCAGTATTATCTTTACTCGTTTGATCGAATATATTTTGCCAGGAATAAAATGTATACCGTTTTATGATTGAGAAAGGTACCTTAATTCGAAGTCTCATACGCTGTACATAAAATTTAAAAAAAGGAGGTAAAAGACAATCATCCTGTAACTATGAGCGAACGATTTCATTGTTAAAATCGAAATGAACAAAATATAGAATGATTAGCTACTATTGGCTGGTAACTGGGTTCGTTCCAACGAGCAACCGAGAGCCATAAAAATGAAATGAAATGCATGGGGGGAGCAGGGGGGCTAAAATACGTGACAACGGGGCACAACTCGACAAAAAAAGGAAGAGGACGATGAAGGAGAAAGTACGTTGGGTAACGAACGCATATTTTTTGATCATGGAGCAACGTGACACAGTTACAAAATAGAACTTTCAATTCGGAAAATGTGAAATATACTCTTATAAACGTTGCAAAAATTCGACTCATTTAATAAAACGCGGATAAGTAAAAATCAAGTCTAATAATTTATTCGTGACACGATATTCTCTTTTTGTACAACACTGTCGTCAGTATAGAAAGATAAGACAAAATCATTATACATTATCACTCTCGTGTGTTGTCGAGAACTTTGATCTGTTTCATTTTTTTTTCTTTTTCCCCTTATTACATGATACTCCGCTTAATACATGTATAAATAGATTTCCAATAAACGTTCCGTGCAATACGTTTGAAAATCTGTACATATTTACACGATTCTTTTCCGAGAGCGATATACCGTTTCAAGTATTTCAATCATTCTCATATTAATTGTATACTCGTATGCAATGCTCGTTTTGTTCTCTTAACAGGTCATATCGTTCTAAGACGTTACAAGACGTTTATACTGTTATAAATTACCCCCTTTTGTTCGTTCAAAAAGATACATACGTAATCCGAATTCATTTGCGTTGTAACGAAGAAGTTTCTCTTCCAACAGAAAAATCAATCTGAAATTATAATTACATAATGCTTACAATTCGATTCGTTATATTGCATTTTCCAATGCAAAAATGAGTTTGAAGGTGCATGTGTAACGGTGCCTTCACGCGACAAATCTAGATTGTTGCTTGATTCATGATACCGCATTAACTTTGGAATTTGTATATCGTTCGATATACGAACAAATCATCGTGAATATATTGTCGTGGAAAAGTTTGTCCATTTATCTGCGTGTGAGATCAAAACCAGTCTCTGGTAATGAAGACACTCCAGAACGAGGAGCATATTGTTTTTCATATACCCCTGACGGTTTTTGAGGGAGACTATATCCTACTGTGGAATCACCAGCTAAAGCAGTTTTTACAATATCCACTGTGTTTGCCTGCAAAAGTAAACCGGAATAGTATTAAGGATATTTTCTTTTTTGAGAATTTCTTCCGGCAATATTTTGTTTTCTCATTCTTTTTTTCAATTATTTTACAGTATAAAATTGTTGATTTCGAACTGAGAAATTAGTTAAACGGGAATAAAGTTACAACCATTCATAATACCTCACTGTTCCACTCTTGTGACATTTATCACGGTGGATTATTGTTTGTTTACAGTTTGATCACCACTTGTGGTTGTCTGACCGCCCAACTGCTGTTGTTGCTGTGGCTGCTGTTGTTGTTGGCCCCAATACTGATTGTAATACTGCTGATTCCAACTATTCCAGCTTCCGTTACCGTAACCCTGTTGATTGTACGAGCTCTGTCCGTAGCTCTTCCAGCTTCCTCCCCATTGTTGCGATCCCCAATTATTTTGTCCCCCCCATCCTTGACTGCTCTGACTACCACTCTGCCAATTGCTTTGTTGATTCCATGATTGTTGTGATCCTGAATAATTTCTTGAAAAATAACAAATCGTATTATTTGATTTACATTTTCAATCTTACAATTAAACGGGTCAGAATTCTAATTACCCCATTGGAGCCCAACCACCCTGCCGGGAAACCAATGCTCGACCTCTATCATTCCCCATTCGTCTATCCATATTGCCTCTTCTGTCCATCCCACGATGTACAAGCGGTATGGGTGCACCTCGTCCTCTCCATGGACCATATCCTCCTCCGTGCCTCATATGACCACTCCTTTGAGGTCTGTCTCTCCAACCCATATTGCTACCGCCTCGCCAGCCAGGATTTCGATTTCTATCTGAATCTGTGAACCATGTCTCTTTAGACCCTTTCTCCCCTCTTACGTTATTATATTCTTTCTACGAAACCTACAATTGTTGCCTCGTCTGTCGCGATAATCTCTATCACGGTTGTCACGGTTGTGTCGCGTGTTACGATTGTCTCGAGAGTTCTCTGGTCTTTCTTCTACTCGCGGACGTTTACTCTGTTGCAGTCCATAACCAGCTTCTTTTGCTTCTTTGTTGTACTTTGCTATAATTTTGTCACCATCTTCTCGGCTGAGTTCGATCCAGTCGACTGCATCAAAAGACTCGCCGATGACCGGAGCTCTAAACTTTGCTAAATTCAATACATAACCGCATTAGATAGAATATATAAATCAAGTAGAGTATACAACTATCTTCACAAACCTTTCATTTCCATCAACATTGATTCAGTAAGTTCTTTGCCTTCAACCGGTTTGTGCTTAACAACGCGTGATTTGTATTCTTCTTCAGATGGTACCAATACTATCGCTTTTCTTTGATATCCACAGAAGGTCTTCATTTTGCGTCTTTGTGCAGAAGGGTATACATTAGCCTGCATAAACATTTCATAAGATATTAAATTAATTTATTGAAGAAATGGAAAAGTGAAATGTCCGACACATACCTGATCTAATATGTAATTGCGCCTTCTAGTTGGAGCCATTTCCAGTAATTTATCTAACGCGCGTGTACACTTGTCGACAAGGACTTCCCATTGATCATTGTTGTTCTCTTTGTGAGACAAATCTGCGTCCTGAAACAATATTGTTAAAATGTGAAATATGTAATGAATTGTGTATCTATCGAGTCGTTTAAAGTACGTACTTTGATTTTGTCGATTAAGCTACCAAGTCCTAGAATATTGTACATTTTGTGAGGGTGTTCAGCAGCATGTATCGTTGCCCAAGTTGTTTTCCCACAAGCTGGTAATCCGCACATCATTATTACTTCGCATTCCTCTTTGTTGGTTGGTCTCCGTGGACCAGGGATTTTTGATTGAGAATCCATATTGCCAATTGAAATATAATCCTCCAAAACTTCTTCGGCCCACGGTCTTTCTTGGCCAAAGTTACAAGCGAAGCTGCAATTTTTACTCAGGATGTGCGGAAACAATGGCTTGTCGTAAAGCTCTGCTTTAATGATATTAAATGCAGATCCTTGATCTTTCCCATTCACAGTATAAGATAAAACAATGTTATCCTCGGATGTTGCATCGAGGTAACATCCGATAACATCATCTTTGCCAAACTGAAGTCCATAGTCTTCGAACTGATTATTTGTCAATTTCTTTCCAATACTACTGTAACCGAAACTGAATTTTTCTTCTCCTAGTTGCATCGACGTATACAGAGTAGACCAACCAACTCTAAGTATGTACGGATTTTCCTCGTTTTCTGCATCAATGGGACAGAGATCAACTATTTTAGCTTCATAATAAACTTTTCCATGAAGAAAACCGTACGAAGCTCTTGCACCAGCCCACATGTGTAAAAAGCCATCATTATGCATAGGTGTAGCCATAAAAAATCCCTCTTTGTCAATAACAAGGTTTAAATCCGAATCATCTGAAAGCAGAAAATCTCGCTATAGCATCATTCCCATCTAAAGAAACACAATTCTAATTGAAACCTACACCACGATAAAGTCAAAGCAGTATCATCGATTTCGGGTTCATTTTCAACTATTTCCATTGCCGGTGAATCTGCGCGCTCTTCGATAGGACTGGGTGATCTTTTCCTTTTCCTGTCCCCTTCAGTATCATTCTTATCTTGATCCTTCATATCTGTATCTGTATCTTCTTCAGCTTTTGCTTCGTCCATTTCTACATCCTTTAAATGTAAATAAAAAAAAACGATTAATGAATGAAAAAACAAGCTACTATTAAAAATAATACGGTAAATAAGAAATTGATGATGCATGCCTGTTCATCCTGCTTATTATCACTGATATCATCAGTTTCTTTATCGTCACCTAATAACATATTTTCATCTTCAATCGAAATATATTCAGGTTTAGAATCATCGTCTTCGTCGTCATCAATATTTTGATCGAGCAAATCGTCTGTTATTGCATCTGTTTTAGGAATGTCACTAGTCTTAACATTACTAATAGGTTCTACGGTTTGCACATTGTCCGTTGTTTCTACGTTTGATTTGTCATTGTCAATGATTTTTTCTTCGACACTGTCTATATTACTTTCTTTTGTAACTGTTTCTGATTCATCATTTTTTATTACATTCACTTCGCTATGTTTACTCTCTTCCAATGTCTCTGTACATTCCACTTCTTTTATTGAAGTAGCCTCTACAGGCTGTTGATGTTTATCTGTTTCATCTCTATTTTCTTGTAACTTCTTCGGAGACAAATTCTCTGCAACAATAGATCTTTTTGGAGATAAATTTTCATTGACAGTAGACTTCTTCGGAGATAAATTTTCAATGACAGTAGACTGTTTTGGAGACAAATTTTCATTGACGGTAGACTTCTTCGGAGATAAATTTTCATTGACAGTAGACTTCTTCGGAGATAGATTTTCATTGACGATAGATTTCTTTGGAGACAAATTTTCATTGACAGTAGACTTCTTTGGAGATAAATTTTCATTGATAGTAGATTTCTTCGGAGACAAATTATCATTGACAGCAGATTTCTTCGGCGACAAATTTTCAGTGACCGTAGACTTCGCAGGTGACTTTACATTTCGTACTTGTGTACTTTCCGCTTCAACTTTGCTACTTTTTGTTTCATCTGTATCTTTCACAACTTCTTTTACATCTGAACTTTCATTTTCTGCATCTAGCAGTGGATCTTTCACCTCTACTTCATCAATTCTCTCCAAAGAATCGGATTTTTCTACTTGAGAAGAAATTTCTTCTTGCATAGGTTCCTCTGGTATAATGGGTTCTTCATGCAAAGCAGGTTCTGATATTGTAGGCGACGATTCGCGGGACATATCATTTTGATCCGATTTTTTTGGAGATGTTCGTTTCCTAGAGGAATATGAAGAAACCCTAGAGGTCCTTCGTTTCTTTGTGCTAGGAGTTTCGCGAGGTGTTACTGTCACAGCACTTTTAGACAGTCTACTGGATTTTTTCGGGGTCTGTGGTACCTTCGCTGACTCTGATTTTTCATCATTATCTTGATTTGCTGTGTCGTGTATGTTCTCAGCATTGACATTTGCTCTACCTTCGTCCTCTTCTACAATACAAACACATTTACAAAGTTACATTTATACAAAACACATCTGAGAAAAATGTATATTTTCGATTTAAATATTTTGATAAATAACATCGAAGGTGGTACAGACAATTAGAGTGAACTTCGGGAAGAAGATTATTGATTGACTGTAAAGAAAATTTTCAAGAAGCGTCGCGCGCAGGAACATATGTAAACACATGAGAAGAATATAAAGTTTTCGCGTATATGTCTCCGAAAATGTAAAAAATATGAACGGTAGAATCGTTTACTACGTTTGGTAATGGTCAAGACGCTATTTAGATCATTTTGGCCGATCGTTTAATCGTAAAGAGACATGGCACAAGACTCGATGGAAGGGTAGCTATCACCTGATTCGAATGTTTGTCAACATTGGGTCGGGGGAATGTGGAGATTGTTACGAGAAGAAGAATCCATGTGGATATACTTGGAATGACGGGAGATTGTAAAGTGAAGTAAATAAGCGTAACTTACGACTCGCATTTTCTTCTTGTAATGCTTTACGAAGTCTTTCAACGAGCACTGACTTGATGCCTTTCGTATCGAGTCCACGCTGTGAAAGTTCTGTCCTTAATTCGACCACTTTCAATTTTTCCGGATCCATTGCGCGTGATATTCAACGACGGTTTTTAATCCACGCGCTTTAATTCGATAGAAAATGTTACAGAAAGCCCATACACGCGCCAGTAAACCCGCGTTAAATATACAATATGGCGACGCAACTGCAAACAACGCGTTACGTGTTGTAAACGGATTTTATTGGTCAATGTGGCATTTGTTCGAACCGACGCCAACTTCACTGCTAATGGAATTATTTGTCCCCGTTTGCATCGACAACTTAGAAAAGATCTTATTGGTTTCCTTAAGGCGGGATTGCTTCTGATTGGTCAATGGATTGCATATATAGGGTGTTCCTCAATGCAACCGCGAAACTTTTTTGACATGTTGAGAGATTACATCTTCTAAAAAAGTCTTGTAAACAACAGGCTAATTCAGTTCACCGAACGAGATATGGATTAAAATATTAATGCTTCTATCTATTGCTATAATAACTGGACCTAATCTATTTTCTTTAAATTTTGTTGATACAATGGCACAATTTAATTGTAAAACCATGGAAAACGACATTTTTTCTTTACATTTAACAATGTTTTGAACCTGCTGGCATCAGAACACCCTGTATATATGACATTCGTGGAAACTGCCGGTTTTCTTACTTATTTGTTGCTTCTAAAGGTTCCAATCAATTAAGCTGAGGAAAACGGGTTCGTTCAGTTAGTCATTAATGTTTTAAGGTAAAAGAAGTAGGGTTCTTCATATTATACATTCTTCTCGTCCCCGGACCATTTAAATGTTCTGCCCACCAATTATGTACCGATTAAAGTAACTTTTCATACAGATTGTACTGATTGCCACTCTCGATGTTTATCAATGATTTCTGAGATTGTGTCATTTAATCGCGTCGTGTTCAATCATGAATGCGATAAACGTGAATTGGTTGCATTCAGTGGAGGGTGAGTCATTGGTACATCACTTCTATGTAAATACATCCAAAAAGAGAAGATTTTATGGTAAATGAAATTGTTCATCGCACAATTTATACGCCTAAATAATTTTATTTCTATATTTCCATTTTTAATAATTTTATAGGAATACTTGAGAGACCACCACTACCATCTTCAATCGAGGAAGTTACTTACAAAATTTTTATGGTTGGAAGATCAGGAGTAGGAAAAACTTCTGTTGTAGCACGCCTTGCTGGTATACAAGAATCCAATAATTACATAGAAACGAATGGTATAAAAAAAACTAATATATTTTGGCCAGTTAAGATATGGGACAAAGTTGTATTATTCAAGCTACAATTTTGGGATACTTCCGAGACAAGCATTAAAAAATATAACCACATACTGCCTGTAAGTATAACATATTTAAATTGCATAGAAGAAAAAGTAACAGTCATTCATTTTTTTAGGCTTGCAAGGATAAAGTTGATGCAATATGTTCTGTATTTTGTTTTGATGATGCTACAGGATTTAATGATGTTCCTTATTTGATGAATACAATGACAGCTATAAAGGAAAAGCCTGCTAATATAATAATAGGAACTAAGTAATCTAATATTTCTGTTTTTATTTATACTCCAAACATTGTATATGTTTTTGAATAACATCTTCATTTATAGATTTAAACCTTGGTCAAGCTCAACAATGGAAGATGCAAGAATCAAGGAATTCGAAGATAAATGGAAAGTTAAAGTTATTAGACTTGACATTAATAAATTGTCGACTAGATCTGAAATATTTGACTGTTCTTACCAATTAAATGCTATATGCAGTATTCTATGGAATAGAGACAAAGAATTTATTTCTAAACAAATGGGACAGAATTAAATAGCTTATATATATACATAATTGTATGTTCATCTTTTATACTTTTTTACAAATACCAATAAAGACATGTTTCAGAATTTTTATGTATTTCAACTTCTTCGATTTAATTTAATTACATTTAGCTACTTATATACTTTGATAACTAATTTTCCCTTATCTCGCCCTCGACATATAATGTATAAGATAAGGATGAAAACACTGTATCAGAAGGATAGAAAGAGAAAGCGCTGATGCCATCTACAGGGGCGGATTTATGAAGTAATCTCCCTAATCTTATAATGTGTATGGTTTTCTCAATTTAAGAACCATATTCGGGAGCAACGAGGTTCTTGAATTGAGAGAATGCAGCGAATTACTGTGCTCTGATTGGCTGACGATTCATAGCTCAACAGTGCTGCCCTCATAGTCAATGACAAAAACAGGAAATAGCGAGTGAACAAGATAGCATATCATCGGCACAACACATGCGAAACGAGTCACCACGCAGCCAATGTAATTTGTTTCACTTTACCGTGCTTGCGGTCTCACTCTTTTCGCGCATCCGTACGTCTGGCGCTCCATCTGAAACACGCGGCGCGATATTCTTATACTATAGACTTATACTTTTCGCCTCGTAAGATTCTCAATTACATTTATCAGCGAATTTGGGAACAATGCTCAATGCACATTGAGATATGTTTCGAATGTATTGCATACACCTACTGTTAGGAAGATGAAATACGACCCATTTTAATGAATAACTGCCATTTTTAAACAAATTCTGGCCCCTAATTATTCGGCATAGACTGCGCGCGTGTATGCAATGTCGTCGTTGTAAAAAAGGGAGTCATATCGATACCGGCTTCATTCTGACTTCTTCTCATTATTATAAAATGATTGTAAAATAGAATAAAAACTGTAATGTGTGAAAATAAAAGTAAAACTCAATCCAAAATGTCTTTTCATTCATAGATTTTCTTAAACTTTCTATCTCTGTTCCTACGCATTCCTTTTTTTTTATGCCAGTGAAACAATTTCCATTGACTTAAGCTACTTGTTAATTGTATCAGGAGAACATGCGAGGAGGCATCCCGATATTCTATGCCTGGCTTGTAATTGACTCGTACTACTAAAATTAAAAAAATCTCGAGCATCAGGAGAACATCATAATTTTTGAGGAGGTATACCGAAATTCTTTGCATGGCTTGTGATTGACATATACTACTGAAATTTCGACAGAACGAGATACCTCCTCGAAGATCACGCGTACTTCTGATACAAAAGTCCAAATTTTGGCAGAAATTTTCAAAAAATGTTCTTGCAAGTAGTAGTAAGACTTGACATAACTTTGACATAAGCCAGAAAAAGGAATCTGAGGATATCTCCTCGAAGATTATCATGTTCTCCTGATACTCGAGATTTTGCAAAATTTCAGTAGTACAATCAATCATAAGCCAGTCAAAGAATTTCGAGATACATACCTCCTCGCATGTTATGTGAGAGAAGAAAAAGAGAGCCACCTACATTTTTGGAGATTTCGAAATCCCTGGTAAGTATTAGTGACATATGATATGCAAGTAGATATCCGACAAAAGCTAATAAGTTATAAACATTTGCGATTAAAGAATGTAAAGTGGATTCCTAGCTACGTTCACTTATAGTTTTCGATTGGGTTTTGAGCGAACTAAAATAGTTTATTAATGAATGTTGTAAGCTGTGTCCCAAATAATTTGACAACGTCCTACAAATAATTTCTTGACTTCTCAGACATAATATATGATTTATTTTTGCATACAAATATTTATCTATTACATGCCCGTAATATGTAAGGCAAGGAGAGGTAATTGGGGACACAAGGATAGATAGGGATAGCTGAAGCATGCCATCAACTTTTGTTAATACAGCTCCGGTTGGTAAAGTATCGGGATATGTAAGTAAGGAAGATAGTGGCACTCTCAAGTTATTTGCTATCTATGTCGCGCAATCAGTCTTTCCTTGCATTACACATTGCGGGCATAAGGTAGACTAGTATTCCAATGCAAAAATCGTTAATTAAAGAAATGTAGCAAGAGTGACGTACATTTTAAATCACTTTATTACATTGGTCGTACAAAGTGTGTCATATTCAACTCTTAAAGAGAATAAAATTACCACTTTTCAGGTGTAGCACCTCCCCAACTCTGAGTTGTAGCAGATGGTGCAGTCCATTCTTCAGAAGGCTATATAAATAAAAGAATAATAAGTTATTCCACATATTAGATATTTGTTGTTAGAAAGGTGGAAAATTTGCTGTTACCTGTGCAGCCCAATCTCCACTTGCTGGGAAAGCTTGTGCAGCACCCGCAGCTGGAACTGGAGCTGCAGTTGGCGGTGCAACATCGTCGGCCCAGTTTTCTGTTGGCACCGTTCCTGCAGTTTCTATATCATTTACCCAACCAGGTTCTGCAGTAACTGCAACTTCAACAGGTCCTGTAAATTCTTTAGCTGGAGCGATTTCTTTGGCTGCCTGTTCTTCCTTCTCAGCCTAAAATAACAATGAAGTTCTGTTATTACTTAAACACTAATCTAGTGTAAAGGATAAGAACAAAAAATCTACTCAGAAAAGATTAAGCCATAATTACAATGTCAACAAATCTTATTCTGACTATTTTTTCATCATTTTGAATAGAAAAAGCGACACTGAAAATAAAATTATGCTCCACTGGTATTAAACGAACCTCCTCTGGATCCCTATAGAAGAACAGATCGACGACTACATCCCATTTACTTTCGCGAGCAATAGAACCTCTCAGTCTGAGGACTTCTCTGGCTAACAACCACCACATAAGACCAACGCAGTGCAAACTTTTTGTATTGCAAGGAATTGCAATATCAACGAAACGAAGAGGAGAGTCTGTATTACAGAAAGCAATCACTGGAATGTTCACATAGCTGGCCTCTGTGATGGGTTGATGATCAGTGGATGGATCGGTAACAATCAGCAGACGTGGCTCACGGAAAGCAGACTGAAAACAAATATTATAAAGTATATATATGGGAACTTTATACAGTTCAATTAATTGGATTTATGAAATAATTTCAGAAAAGATTAAGCCAAAATAAATCAACACATAAAAATTATGGAAATATTGTTACTCATCATTTGGGTAAGTATTGAATATAATAACTTGTGAAATTAAAAATATAAATGACCTGAATCTGATTAGTAAAGGCACCAGGAGTAAAACGACCAGCAATAGGTGTAGCTCCAGTGTGTTGAGCAAATTTCAAAACTGCTCTCTGGCCAGTTTGTCTGCAACTGATGACGAATACTTCGCTGGGATGTTCAATGGCAACTATGGCACGTGCAGCCAACAGCAATTTCTCCCACGTGTGACAGAGGTTGATGATACTAACTCCTAAATTGGACACAGAAATTGAAATCAATATTTTTAAATAAAAATTTATTCATCAGTTTTAATATAAAGCATACCGTCGTTCTTCTTTTTGTACACATATTGCTCCATCTGAAAGTTGACATTTTCTGCACCCAGATGAGTAAATGCAGCTAACATTTTAGTAACATCATCCTCTTTCAGAGATAATACGTCTAAACCTCCTGACATCTTAACGTTATAGTTAACTTACGATTAACCTAAATCAAACAGAAATACACAAATAAATGCGATGTAGTAAAAGTTTTCAAATCAACTTTTATAGGAAGGTAACCTCACTTCCTAACTTAAAGTAAATAGCATAATCATAAAACATAATCAGTATGTAAGAAAATAAATAGCAAAGGTTAAACTCTATTAGAAGCATAACTTAAAGCTATTGAATATTTTAAGATTTCTACTACTAAAACTTTATAGAGAATGCCACGTGCACTGAGCGACTTAAATATTTCGATATACACTGTAACTATTCGTTATTCGTACTTATATTTATATAAATATTAATCTGCGTACGTTTAATATTTTATAAATAACATTTTTTCTATTTTCTGATAAGAAATAATTATTATAAATAGTAATAATATTACGGAGAGCTTACGTTATCAACGCCACTAGGAGATTTCCAATCGGAAAGGAAGTTGTGAACCTTACACAAAGTACAACTCAATCAACAGGGATTAACCAAATACTTAGTTCAATAGTAAAAAGGCTCGAAATTGTTAGTGTTGAGAGTAGAATAATAATTTTTGTGATACTATATTTAAAATTATAAAAATTTATGAATTACACATGTTAAAATATAGAAATAACTTCGATCTCACAAAGTAACGGAAATACACTCAAATTAGGCCGGGAAATTTAAAACGTTAACAAACTAGTTGGTATATGTGTGTATAAGAAATGAATTTATGATTCCAGTTCAATTTAATAATGCCCCAATTCGTAAATAACGTATAATTGGCCGTCTAAATTAATGATACTTATCAAAACAGAAATTATTTAACTGGTTTACTATACGGATACAATTGTAACAGTTATATTGAGATATTAATACAATGTTTAAGTTATACAAAATGGCACTTAATTATAGAATAATGCAGATATGTATATGTTATATTTACACATTCTTCTTATATACCTATAATATTGTTGTATATAATTATAAGAAAATAAGTACAAATGATTTCGTAGTGTCGTGTATTCTAACCTATAATATGTGAGGTCCGTGATGCACTATTCTCCTTATAAGAAATGTGTAAATAACAGATTTACAACGAATTATGTTTAAAAGTAGGAAAATTTTTAAAATGGTATAGAAGAATGTATCCAGCAAATCATAAGACCATTTTTGTTTTGGATCATACCCCCTATTTTGGTATATCTACTGAATCTCCATTGGAATTTGATTTTCTAAAAAGTCGTGGACAAAATTTGATCCCTTTAGCGCCTGTTTGTAAATCTTTGTGGACTACCAGTGTAGAAGCCTCATTAGAATATTGCCGTATAGTGTGGGATCTCTTCCCAACTGGAAAATTGGTATAATTATTTATATATATATTGGTATAATTCGAGAACAAATTATCCATATTTTTGTGACTTAATTACAGTTAAGATTTGTGGTAACCGATCGAGCAGCTTATGTATTAAACTCATGGAGCCCGTCACAGCAGAATTTAAATCACGTAAGCTTTCATGGACTTTTTATTTTGATTCTTATCATCTCTTAGCAAACAATATTCTAAAAACAAATGCTATAACATAGATCATGAATGGTACTGCTATCTTGGGAGTACCAACGAAAACCCCGGAGCCTGGAGAAGATTATTCTGTAATACATGGTTTAAGGGTAGCTATAGAAACTCTTAACGAATGTTCAGAAATTCAGCATGAGAAGAGAACATCATTAAATGAGAATGCTAGTAAACTCGTGAACAGGGGCAGAGTAATATGTATTACCAGTGCAAGGGACAACAACAATATGAAAAGTTTAGAGAATATATTCCTGAACGAGTTGGCTCAAGAAAATAAAACTGCTTTAGCATCAGATCAGTCAGTAGATCTTTTAAAATTGTTATTAGAAACTAATGGATGTCTAATTTTTTTATGTTTTTGCAGTTTGATACCTGTGGATTATTGCCATCTAGTTATATTGAACATATTTCCTAACAATATAGAGTCACAAGTTACTAGCCAGGGACCTAGAGAGGTATAGGTATTTACATTTTTATAAATTCTCCACATATTTTACAGAGAATTTTGCTTTAGGTTTCACCACTATTGACAGTGGAAGTACACTCGATTAAGGCACCTGCTCTGCATTCGAAACTATCTCATCTGATCCTGTCTCACTATGACTTGGCGAGTACAACGGTTACGGGTATACCTATGAAGGAAGAACAGAATGCCAGTTCCTCTGCCAATTACGACGTTGAGATATTTCATTCGTCGGCAGCGCATTCCGCGATTCTGAAAGGTAACTTGATTTTGAATATGATTCTGATAATAAATATAAAGTCCACAAGCGTATATAGTATGGTTTTTATAGGAAATCCGCAAGACTCGGCCCTGATTAAAACATTCAGGAGATTCGAGGAAGGATCGGAGTACGAAACTGTAACTCTGAAATGGTGTACACCGCGAGGTTGTAGCGCAGCGGAGATGCAAAACTGCACCGCTATGCACAGAATTACACCGGTGGATGTAAATAGTAGACCGTCGTCTTGCTTGATCAATTTTCTGCTAAATGGTAGGTCCGTGATGCTTGAAATGGCTCGCAAGAGTGGAGGGAAAACTATATCTCATTTACTCGCTGCACATGGTGGAGAAATCTTTATACACACATTGTCTACTGCTAGAAGTGTATTAGAAGATCCACCGTCTATCAGCGAAGGTTGTGGTGGACGTGTAACCGACTATAGAATAACCGTAAGTTATATGTTCGATGCAATACAATCTTTCCCTCGATAACGGTTGCGTTTCTCACAGGATTTCGGAAAGCTTATGAAGAATAACGTATTGGTGCCTTTGAAACGAAGTACAAATAGCAACGGCGAAGGACCAGCAGAGAAAATGCGGTCCAGATTGGAGAGGCATACAAAATACTGGCCAATCACTATTTCCAGTACGCTTATGTATAACTTGAAACAGGTAGATTTCGTTGCAACTTATACTCTCATGGAATTTATTCGTTGTTTCACTTTGCCGACTAGACTTTATCAACGTTTACTTTTGTGTTTCAGTTGATAGACCCGTTGCCAGACCTAATGGTGAAAGAGGAGCTTACCGCGGAGGAGGTGTTGCAATGCAAACAAGTGATTTTCAGCTTGTTACAATTGGAAACGAAACACGAGGCACTGCCTTTGCCGAGCATAGGCGGTGGACGTGGCGGGAAAGGTGGTGTACGCAGAGAAGAACATTATAGATTATTATGGGGAGAACTGGAGACATTTCTGAAGCATCATGCCAACAATTCCGCCGCTCATTCCGAAGTTCTGACTTGCCTCCTTGACGTACGGAGCAAGGACGACAAAGATAAGGTCGAATTGGATCAGGCGTTGCGCGAATTGGATGGGTAAATAACCTCGATCGTACAGCTAAAGGGGACAGGGTTAAACAGCTAAAGGCTACTTCGTTTCGTGTTTCGTAGGTTTGGAAAAGAAGATGGGACCGCTCGAGCCAGCGTGATAAGAGCAACCACCGATTCGCCGATGTCACCGCCACCTAGTACCTCGATGTCCTTGGGAAAGCAACTGCACAAGGGCGGCTTCTACGCCCCGAAAAGTCTACTGGATATTTGGTTGCAGCGAAGTGCACCCAAAGAGAAGAAACCAGACTTCCACGGCAGAGTGAACAGCGACGGTCACAAGGCAAAGTTGTATCCCAACTTGAAGGAGCCTGGTCGAGAACCTCGGGAGCCTATTATAGAAGGTTGAACATCGTCTGCCGGATACGTATTGTCCGACATCAAGATCTAATGTACCAGAAAGCCTGTGATCTCCGCTTTCAGAGGATCGGAGAAAAATAATAATTTTTTTATTTACGTTTTCCTACTAACGACCGTGCGTTGTGCATTTGATTCCAAGCGGGCGCGATTTATCTAGAAAAGGGAAAGGAAGGATCGAGCGGAACGAGAAGAGAGGACGAGGAGATTGGCCGCGGGCACAGATAGGAGTGCAGTTAGGCAGGAAAGTGTATCAGTGGTGCAACGAAAGCGATTCCGCCGGCCTTGCGCCCCGCACGCTCCCCGCTCTCGGTCTCTTTGTCCTTTCCTCGTCCTCTCCTCGTCCCACTAGGTTTTACAGAGCAGACACGTCTGCCGAGTGTCTGAGCCACCGCGATACGTTGACCTCCAATCGAAACTATAGCTCTCTATCGCCGCCTCCCCTACCCGCTTGAAATTCCGTTGCTAATCGATGGAAGGAAGGAAGGTACGGAAGGAAGGAGGAAGGAAGCGAAGGCAGGCACGGTGCACACAGCACATAACATAACGCGAACACGAGAGAAGAGAGACCGAGACAGAATCGACGGACGAGGAGAGGCACAGAGGGAGGAGAGGCGGAAGGGGATCAGAGAGTACAAGTGCGTGACGTAATGGTTCATTCATCCCGAGACAGACGATATCCCGGTCAATGGTGTACATATACACGGACACACGCACCGCTATGTACACGTCTGGATACATAGGCGCGCGTTCGCTCGCGCTCGTGCTCGCGCGTGCCTCTGTGTTCGCGTGTACGTGTGCACCAACGGTGCGAGCCAGCGTGTACCCGTGTAACCTTATAGTTGTGTGTCACGTGAGATACACACGTGCACGTGGTTGCTGTGTTTGGTTTGCTCGTTCTTCGCCTCGGCCAGTTGCACTCCGAGTTTCCTTTGGTCCACGCAACTTGCCTTAGGTGTCACTGACGAGACCGGCGTGGCGGTTCTTAACGCGCTGATCTTGTTCAACAGCTGGTGCTTCCTTTCGGATCAAAATCCCTACGAGATAGTCTCGCGGCTCGATGTCGATTGCTAAGATTTCAAATTCGTACCCGAAGACGGGTAATTCTCGTTCGAGAATAAAGTCAAGGAGGAACAAAACTGCGAGGACACGTCGTCGTATAATATCGCAGGGAACGTTGGCTGTCGCATCGTATCGCATCGCGTCGCGTCACAGCCAGAAAAGTAAATTAGAAATATTGATCGGTGGCTATGCGCGGCGGTACGTGCAGACGGGCGATGAAGAGTCCGCCGTTTATAATTTAGCTCGACTATCTAGCCGAAATATCGATCCCGGCGAAAGGTCATTGAACGCGCCAACGAAAAGAGAAATATTATCGCCGCAGTTCACCGGATAATCGGTGACGTCGTTCCTGTCGTCGCGGTGCGCGTACCGAGCATCGAACGTTTTCAAAAAGACAAAAAAGACAGCGAAGAAAACCTATATGACGCGATTCTCGGTCGAACCGGTTCGATAAGTCACGGTGCTCGACGTCTCCGTTTAATTCGATGTTGACATTGTCGTTAGGAAGGCACATCGATAATGCATGACGTTATCGATTCTTGGTACGCATCGCCTAGCCCCGCGAAGTGGATATCGACCCACGCTTGGAGCGGGAGAGCCGGGATGCTCTATAATTCATCGTCGTTCCGCTTCCCGGTCTTTGTGCCTTCCGGGCAGGATCGAAGGTACGTGTCGAGTTTCTCCTTCGTAGAATCGGTCACACGACTTTCAGCCGAAACCGTTCAAAATCATATCGGTCTCATCGACGAGGAAGAATCGATCAATTCGATCGTAAATATCGTAACGACGTCGCGACGGAAAGGGAGGGAAAGTTTCGTCTTTTCAACGAGGGAAGAGGAAATGCATCCTTCTATGTCTGCTCGTAATATTCCGCAGAGTATTCGCCGGCTGAGAGGCCAGGTCGGTGAAACGTGGCAGGACGAAGCGGGGAGAAACGAGGGAAAATAATCTCCCAGCGGGATTTTCGACCCTCGACGCGTTTCGCATCGGGGCTAGGAAGAGACCGGGTGATCGTTAGCACGAAGGGGTCTTTGAAAAACGTCTCTTCCAGAAAGAGAAGCAGCTGGCGAGCAGCGGGCGAACCAGGCAAGCGGACGAGCAGGCAAGCTGAGGCGGGTAGGCAGACAGGCAAGGCAGGCAGGCAGGCAGGCAGAGCAGGCAGACGCACTATTGAAAAGGGGCGACAAAAGGGCAGCCCTGACCCTCGGGGATCGCAGCGGGAAAGCGGGCCCAGGACGCTTTCCTTCAGCTCAATGGAATACGTTAGCACGCGACTTGAAATATTCAGAGAGACGAAGCTTTAGGAGAAATTCGAGGGCTGTGTTTTCCAGAGTTGGCTCCTGGCGAGTCCGGCTTCCTCTCGTAACGACATATTATTCTCCTGTTATTTTTGTATTTTAATACCTCGGTCGACGAACGAGAGTTACGAACAGCTTGGCTGACGATCCTCTACGTGTTCCATTATTTAACAAGATCTTATGCTAACGTAGCGAAACCCGAAGGGTTGCTGTCTATCGAAGCGAGTATCCAACTCCGACGATATTGAAATTCCTTGTTCGCTTCCGTCAACTTACTCGAGGCTAGCAGCGACTTGCCAAAAGTCGGTCTCCATTTTCTTTTTGTCCCGAACTTCGCTAGCCTGCGGATCTTTATGCAAACTCGAAATTTGGTGCATCGATTGCAAAACATGGAAACTACACGGTTCGTTTCTTCTCCTAAACGTATGAATAACGTGCCAGTAGTAACATCGAATACTTAAACTGTTATGACATTTTCACCATTCCGCGTTTCATCTACTCGTTTATGCCATAAACGCGCAAAGTCCACATCCTAATTATTACACCTATACGGTGTTTCATTGTTAATCTTTTCATCTTGAAACAGCATTACGCATCAGATGTGGATAAACTTCCGCTCCTCTTTCGGACGTTCTTTTCCCGATGGCAATTGCCTTTTCATCCATCGAAAGGGAAAACGTAGAGGCAGAGGAATGTCCTTTCTCACGATCAGAATAGAGGAAGAAAGAGAGAGAGAGAGAGAGTCCGTGTTGCGGGACAACGAGCGCGAGTCGAGTGGAGTCGGCAAGAGGAATCGAAAGTAGAAGGCAGAACGAGAACGAAGAACGGTGCAGAAGCGGGTGCTGGTCCGGGTGCGGTTGCGGGTGCAGAGGGTGGAGGGTGTCCCTCGAATCGTCCCCGCCATGGTAACGTCGTAGCACGTGCTCGCTACGTCACCGCGTGTTTACAGAGAGATACCTATAGCCGTACTCGTGACCTTGTGTTTTGTATATATCATCCTCCCTCCTGACGCCCGCGGGATTCCCCCGCTGTCCCGCGGACTCGGGAATACCCCCATCCGGTGTATATCGTCTCTCGTCTCTCGTCTGTCCTCTCTCCTCTCTCTCCTCACCCTTTCAGCATCCGCGTCCGCGTCGAGGCGGCGAGCGCGTGCACGAGAGAGCTCCTCAAACTCCCCATGAGGCAACCAGTTGTTCCGTCTGTGACGTAACAGCGTATCACACGACCTGTCGGTGCTTTGTTGCATCCTGTCCCGCTCGCCCCCTCCTCGTACACAACCTCTTGCCCCAACCCCGACCGTAGACTAGGTTCTTTCTTCCTCTGTCGTTGGCCTCCTTCTCTTTCGATCGTTCCGACTCCCGCGCTACTCGCCTCTCTCTCTCTCTCTCTCTCTCTCTCTCTCTCTCTCTCTCTCTCTCTCTCTCTCTGTCCCTCTTTCTTCTTCTCCCAGCTTCTCTCTGTCATTCTCGGTGCTCGCTGACCTCTTTATCTAGCCGCGTTTCTCTGTCTCTTTTCGCTTCTCTGTCCGTCGATGTGTACACACTCATCACCTTCCCTCTCGCTCCGCTTGCCGGTGGTTCTTCGTCTCGCGAACACCGTGCTCGGAATTCCCTTTCCAGCACCCCCGCCCGCTTATACCCCCCTTCTTCACCTCTTTCTGCACCTCCTGCACCTCCTCCTCGGCACTATCCGTGTTCGTCCGTATGTACACACGGCTACGTACACTCGTGAACTCTCCTCGTGATGCAAGAGAGTGAAAGTGAGAGAGAATACTGGCCGAGAGAGAGAAAGAGAGAAATAGAGAGAGAGAGAGAGAGAAAAGGTGGGAGGATGGTTTAAATGGGTGAACGCATATCGCCTCGAAGGTCGTGCCAGAGCCGACTGGGTCACTGGAACGACTGCGATGACCCCGCGCCGCGTCCCTTTGCATCCAGTTCTCCTTCTGGTTTACCGAATTTGGTATCAGTCCCTCGATTTTTCTTCTCTCCGAATCTCTCCACTCCGATCCTATCCTGTACTCTCACTCTCTCTCTCTCTCTCTCTCTCTCTCTCTCTCTCTCTCTCTCCCTCTCCCTCTCCCTCTCTCTCGAATCCCGATAGTCCTCGATCCTGCGACCCGCAGAGATCTGGTAGCCCCTCGAAAAAAGAAGAGGTGGATCGGATCGCCGGCGGATTCTCCAAAAGCTCGACCCGTTCTCGGGGAAGATGATTAGCAGCCGGTACCGACCAAGATTCCACTGGTCGAGCAGCATTCCCCACGGAGGAAAGTTTCTCTCTTCTCGGCGAGGCTCGCGTTCCTGGCAACGATCCACAAGACAAGACCCAGCTTCTTTCCTTAATTTTAGACACGTCTCGCCGCGAACGCGCACGACCAGTTGCTTCTTCCCACGAAAACCAATAACGCGCGTTCCTAAGCCCGCTTTATTTCTATCCTCGACGACGAAACGATCCTCGATCGATTCGAGTCGAAGAGAACTCTGTGCTCGCTTCGCAGAGCTGTTCAGAGAAAGTCGAGGAGATCGGAGAGATTGCTTTCACTTTCCCAACCGGGCATCAAGGTGCCACGCAAACGTTTCTCGGACGAACCTTTGAAATCCTGTTCCCGAAACTGCAGGGGCGGTTCTTCGGTAATTACCCCTGACTCGCGATCTTCGTCTATTCGCTCGGATGCACGTCGAGTGGACGTGGAACGTCGAACACTTTCGCCGGTCCGTTTGATCGGGGCCGTTCCGCATTCAATTAACCGGTCAATTAGCCGCCAAATCGTGATCGGTCCGATCGACTCGTTACAGTCGAATCGGCCGGAACGCTGCCGACCGTTCTCGCTTAAACGCGATACATAATTGCTCCTTTTAGGTCCGATTAATTTCGAATCGATTGACGGCTTGTTTCGGCCGCGTGCCACGCCGCATAGTTCGTTGCGGGTCCGGTTAATGGTTCGCGTAATTGCAGCAGCACGCGGTACCATTAACCCTGAAACCGTGAACGCTTTGTTCGATCCCCTTTTCCGCGATCGCGTCCGGTAACCGTGTTTCCGACTTTTGGCGAATGCTTGGAAAAGCAATCTCCGCTTCGGACATGGGCGGCGGTCGATTCTTTCACCGATTCCACGCGACCCGGTAAATAACGTTTTCGTTCGTTCCCCGGATTCAACGAGATCCCAACGCGATCAAGGTTAGCCAGTCGAATCCTTCGAGTAGCGGAGGAGCGACCGATAAAGAGCAAGATCTCGACAAGAAGGAACGGCGAAGGAACCGCGTGCGAGGCTACGACGGATTATCGACGCAATCTCGACGGAGCGTTCGACGGAGAAACGATTAATCGGCCCAGTGAATTTTAACGCGTGTTAAAAATTAACAGAAGGCGAATGTGTAAGGGGGATCATCGATCCGTTGCGCCTCGAACGCAGCGCTCTTCCTCGCTCCGTCGAATCGCATCGCGTTGGTCCCGTTCCCGTTACCGTGAAGATGCTCCGCTATAAAAATATAACGATGTTTTGACGTCGCGATCGTCAACGAGGACGTAAACACGGCGTGGGCGGGTTCCATTTTTCCCTCGACCGAGTTCGCGGTTGTTCTACCGCGATGTTCCCGCTGGACGCGCCCGTACGGCAGGGGCATAACAGCACAGGGCGTAACGTTTTCAAATAATTTATTTAACCTCGTACTTCGCAATGACATCACGTTACTTTACAATTATTCCAAGTGTTACACGTCGCTATTCGAAATTAGGAGAAACGAAAACTGTTCGGTCGCTGCAGCGCTCTATACAAAGTTGGAGAGAATGGGGGCACCGAGGGCTAGGTCTGAGTCAGGTGCGCTACGATCAAAAGGAATCCGGGAAATGTGCATATCGGTGGGATATGTGTCTCTGTGTGGTATGTCTGTCTGTGTGGAAGGATCCGATTGAAAGCCGCGTGGTCGCGACCCATGTCGAAAATCAAGGCGAAATCGCGTGTGCGATCGCGATTTCCTTGGGTGACAACGCGAAACGCGCGATAATGGTGGGAATCGGACCACCGCGAAACGGACGATAAGGAGAGGCAGCCCATCCTGCGATCGCTTCTTAGTTACGGTAAAATGGCAGTAATAAAGGCGGTCCCGATCGATCGCCGATCGTTTAAACGGATTCTGGACCTAACACGCGAACGTCTCTCAATTAGAAACACCCCCGTTTCCGTTCACAGCGGACGTCCTCCGTGGGTCCCAGGAGCCGTGGAAACCACAAGCGTCTCCGATCTGCTTACACCCTAGGAATGGATCGCGGTTTTACGCGAATGTTGCGGTACCACGCTCGAGAATCTCCGCCTCGCCTAGAGAACCAAGAACGAAAAACACGTTTCCAGAGAAGTAGAGAAAGAGGGAGAGAGAAAGAGGCAAATGTAGAGAGCCGGCGCATAAAAAAGAGTCTCGTCTCAATCGCACAGATAAACATTCTCTTCTTATTTTTGTAATCGATGCAGACTTTTGCCGATGTTGTCTATCTGGCGAATTAAAAGAGAAAAAAAAAGATTGTCATAATTGAAAAACAAATGTAAGAATACTTGTACGTACGAGTGTGAGAACTTGGAATGTATTTGAATGTAATGCGCGAAGAACAATTTGCTTCTTTGCCGGACATCGGATAAAATTGCGAGAAAAAGAACGATTGCGCTGCGCTTGAGTCCGTTATGTTTATAAGACGATTAAAAACTATACTCTCTCGCTGTGATTGGTAGTAGTACTAATAGTAATAATAACAATGGTGTAATAATAATAATAGCAATAATAGCAATAATAATAATAATAATAATAATAATAATAATAATAATAATAATAATAATAATAATAATAGTAATAATAATAATAATAATAATAGTCGTAATGATCCCCGTCGTAGCTCGCAAGCGCGCGTTGATTGATTTTTGGACAAGCTGCTAAGTTTATTCTCTATTCGTTATATCGTTCGCAGAATAAACGTAGTCCGTTCATCGATCATCATGATATCGTAGTGGTCGCTGTTGTAATTCTGGAAACGTGGGATCTTCAACGCCCTTCCGTAAATTAGCACATGACTGATGTATATGCATATACGTATGTGTAAATATGTATATATGTATATATATATATATATATACATATATATATTTGTTTATTTATTTCTATATCATCCTTTGCTAACGAAACGGTGTTGAATAAATTAGACGTTAAATAAATAGAACTGTTCGCTACAGTTTTTATTGAGTAGATTGATCATCAACGCCGGCTGCGTCTCCATTTATACTCTTTCTCCTCTTGTCTTCGACTTCCTCTTGCCCTTCTGTATTTCTCCGCTGGTTCGTTTCCGTATTTTATAAAGGAGAGGGATGCAACGACACACTGACAATTGATGCACCGGAAGTACTCAAGTCTCCTCTGTGTCCCGGCTCTCTCCGTTTTGAATTCTCTTTCGTGCAGGCGAAAGAAGTGCGACCGCGTGTCAAATGATAATAGGATTCGGTACTAAAGGGCAGCCCCTCGACCGCTCAGTGTTCTAAATTACAAATATATATTTATATTTATATAATATGTATATTTATAAAATTTGAATGAACGTTTTTTTTCGATCAAGTTATAGTGGTTTTTCTTTTCCTCCTTGTAATTTCCTTTATCTCTCGCTCTCTCTCGTTTTTTCACACGCTCACGTTCTCTCGTTCCCATGTTCGGGCCACACACAACCTATTATGCACTCTCTCGCATTTTCACTTTCACTCTCTTGCTGTCTATCTTTTTCCGTGTTTTGTAGTCGGTCGCAAACTCTTCGCGTTAAATAGCTCCGTATAGTCGTATAGTATGTATGTATAGCGTACTCGTTCGGATCGCTTGGTTCGTTCTTTTTATCTCGATCATCATCGAGATATCGTCGTTATTGGTATTCCATCTCGTCGATCGTAAGCTCTTTTTTTCTCTGTTTCGTGTTCGCTCGAACGATCGACGATAACTGTTTAATTAATTNATAATAATAATAATAGTAATAATAATAATAATAATAATAGTCGTAATGATCCCCGTCGTAGCTCGCAAGCGCGCGTTGATTGATTTTTGGACAAGCTGCTAAGTTTATTCTCTATTCGTTATATCGTTCGCAGAATAAACGTAGTCCGTTCATCGATCATCATGATATCGTAGTGGTCGCTGTTGTAATTCTGGAAACGTGGGATCTTCAACGCCCTTCCGTAAATTAGCACATGACTGATGTATATGCATATACGTATGTGTAAATATGTATATATGTATATATATATATATATATACATATATATATTTGTTTATTTATTTCTATATCATCCTTTGCTAACGAAACGGTGTTGAATAAATTAGACGTTAAATAAATAGAACTGTTCGCTACAGTTTTTATTGAGTAGATTGATCATCAACGCCGGCTGCGTCTCCATTTATACTCTTTCTCCTCTTGTCTTCGACTTCCTCTTGCCCTTCTGTATTTCTCCGCTGGTTCGTTTCCGTATTTTATAAAGGAGAGGGATGCAACGACACACTGACAATTGATGCACCGGAAGTACTCAAGTCTCCTCTGTGTCCCGGCTCTCTCCGTTTTGAATTCTCTTTCGTGCAGGCGAAAGAAGTGCGACCGCGTGTCAAATGATAATAGGATTCGGTACTAAAGGGCAGCCCCTCGACCGCTCAGTGTTCTAAATTACAAATATATATTTATATTTATATAATATGTATATTTATAAAATTTGAATGAACGTTTTTTTTCGATCAAGTTATAGTGGTTTTTCTTTTCCTCCTTGTAATTTCCTTTATCTCTCGCTCTCTCTCGTTTTTTCACACGCTCACGTTCTCTCGTTCCCATGTTCGGGCCACACACAACCTATTATGCACTCTCTCGCATTTTCACTTTCACTCTCTTGCTGTCTATCTTTTTCCGTGTTTTGTAGTCGGTCGCAAACTCTTCGCGTTAAATAGCTCCGTATAGTCGTATAGTATGTATGTATAGCGTACTCGTTCGGATCGCTTGGTTCGTTCTTTTTATCTCGATCATCATCGAGATATCGTCGTTATTGGTATTCCATCTCGTCGATCGTAAGCTCTTTTTTTCTCTGTTTCGTGTTCGCTCGAACGATCGACGATAACTGTTTAATTAATTGCAAAAATACTAGTTAAATTCCCGTACACGAAAACCTCGACACGACGATGCTGATGGTGATATCGTGTCTCGCGTGTGGATGAGGTGCTTCCGTATCTCAATTGTTTATTTATATATATGTATGTGTATATATATATATATATATATGTATATATATGTATGTATGTATGCATATATATGTATATACATATATACGTGGTGTGTTAAGTATGTGTGTGTATAGTGTGTAGTTTTCCAGGTCTGTCGCCACTTGCACTCGTTCTCTCGTTCTTGGTGGATTCAAAAAAGCGTTACTTTTATTTCCTTCTAAAGTTTCTTTTACTTACAAGGTATTTGGTTTTGCTTTATGCATCGCTCCGACATGCAGATTCGTTTAGGTATATAAATTATGGTAATGATTCTGTATTATAATTATAATAATTATTAATATTAATATTATCATTGTGTGTTCGGTGTACCGCCCCGTTAATTCTCTTGCTGGTCACGGAATCAGTTGCTCGATCTTTCTTTCTCTAACACCTAATTTTACGGTCTTCGCTTTCTTCTCTTCAGAACGCATCACTATCTCTCTCTTTCTCTCTCTCACACACACACACGCACGCGCGCGCGCGCGCGCACGCATATACACACACACACGTTAGCGCTCTCTCTTTCTTCCTTTCTTTCTTTCTCTACGTCTTCCTCATACACGCATTCGCGCACACAATACACACATAGAACGCACTACGCTCATATATATATGCTATATACGTGTATACCCAAAAAAGCGTGTCAACGTGTGTTTTCGACCTATTCGAATCGCGTTCGTAATTCATCGGCAGCCTTGAACACGCGGTACAAATCATGGTACAAAGGAATGATATTATCGTTCTCGTCGATAAAAGGCTACGGTCGTTTCACTGCCGAGCGACGTGAAAGCTGGGAAAGGACGATGTTGAGGGGGAGGAGGAGAGGCTGGGAAACGAATCCGCTGAAAAAGGCAGCATCGAGATCGCCTCGTTCGGACAAGCCGAGAACAGAGGATAATATCCGCGGCAGAATACCAGAAAAAACAGGAAAAGCTCCACGGCCTCTCGAGTGTTTTCCTCCGCCGATTCGTGAACAAACGAAACACCGATGTTCCGTCAATGGGAATCGTCGAGAGAAAGCGAAGTAAACTATGGGCTAAAGAAAAAGGCGAGTCCGCGTGCGTGATCTTCGAGACGTTGGTCCGAGAGCTTTACCTCTTTTCTTTCTGCCCCCGATCGACAGGGGAAGCCTCGCGATCGATCTAAAAACCGGCAAGGTGCCTTCGCGTGTAACAGTCCATCGTGTGTACGAGAATGCTCTATTTTACACAAGAATCTCAAGAAGAAGATTGTACGAAGGTGTTTGGCAAGGAGACAGAAGTGCATGGGTGACGAACGTGAAGCGTGAGAATCATATAAAAATAAAACGGGGAACGGATTAAGAACAGGAACTCGAGAAATATCGTCGGTGATGCGAGAAGGGGAGATGAGGAGAGATGAAACAAACGATGAGTTTTCATGGGAAAGGAAGAAAGAGGATGAGTGTGTATACATGAGAAAGGCAAAGAGAGAGAGAGAGAGAGGGAGGGGGGGAAGAATGAAAGAGAAAGAGAGAGCTGAAGCGAAGGAGAATCATCGAGAAACGATCGTGATGGTGCGATGGTAGCTACAAGGTCTACTATCCTTGACCCTGATCGGTGACCCTGGCGGATTTTAGAAGCGCCTCGCTGCGATCAGCGTTAGATTGGCGGCCGACACGAGGGTGCTGACGTTGTTGCTCGCATTGGTGGCTCCCTGGCTGGTGGTGGGTCACTTCTTGCTCTTCTTGCTGGGCGGTTCCTGCGCGTCTTGCGAGTCCTCGGTGTCCTCGCTGTCGGTCGGTCGCGGCGTATTGTTACTGTCCTCGTTGTCGTTCGTGGCGAGGGAATCGTTCGTGTCTTCGCTGGCGACTGCCACTGTGATCGGAGTCGCCGGTTTATCCATCGAGTCCTCGGTGAAGGAGGTAGTCGTGCTGTTCTCGTCGATGGCCGCCGGATCAATACTGCCTGGCTCCTTGCCGTTCACCGCCACTTCCTGATTACTGTCATCCGACGGTTCTGTTGCCTCGCCGTTGCTCGGCGGATGGGAGTTCCCGTTCTCCGTCGAGCCTGGAATCCCGTCGAGGAGCTCCGGCTTCAGCTCGGACGCAACGTAGTGTGTCCACAGCGCTAGTTCCACCCTGTGCGGACTCCATGGCTTCCCGTTCGTCGCTGCAACCGAGCAATTCATATCCAACAGTTATGATATCCTGCTGTGCAGTTACCTTGCTCTCTCGACCCTCGATCGCGAAACACTCTCTTCGATACCTCCGATTTCTCAATCAATTACGAATACCAAAGCGAAATTTAACTTTTATCGATCACCTACTCCGTAAATCTTACAGCAACCGACGAATGTGGGGTCTACTTTGATCACTCTGCGTACTCTCCAGTCTAAGACTGATCAAATAACGAAAGAAAGAAAAAGCTAACAAGTTAGAATTAAACATCGTCAAGCTAAACGAACATCTTTATATCGTGTCGTAGAATCAACATAAAAATGGATCAGAACGTAGACACTGCATTCGCCAGAGTTGATCCCAATGGAAGGACACTCACTTTGTTTGTTCAGCCTCTCCACGGTGTTTTGAATGTGCTGAACAAAGTTGAGGTACTCCTTGGTAGTGTAATCGATGCCCTCGATTTCCGGTATTGCCATCAGGCATTCGTCCGCCATGAACGGCGCGTTCTCCGGCGACGCCGCCGCCAGCAGGGCCGACGCCATCGTGGTGCCTACGCCTTTCAAATTCGAGAGAGCCGTGATCGCCTGTTCGAGATTCGGAAGCTTTTTGAACGCCTTCTTCGTCTCTGCCATGACTGCGCGAGGCGTGTTCACTTTGATCAAGTAGGACACTTGGGGGTAGAATTTGCCACGCTGGAAAGAAGGTGCAATCGTCTCGTGAACGACTTGATCTCGATCTTGGTTCCTGAACAATGAAACGGAATCCCGATATACTCACTATCTGCTTCCACTTCATCGTTTGCACCAGCTCCTCGTGATTGAGATGGGCGTCCTTGCCGCGGGACTTGATCTTCTTTGGAAGCTCATTTTGGTACCTGCAAGCAGAAAGAGAACGTCGATGCTTAATTCGCGAAATTGGCGAGGAAAGAGAGAAACGGTTCTCCGAACGAACTCTCGAAACGGCTTGGCACCGCGTGCTTCGACGAACAGTGATGTCACCGATTATTCATCGGCGCTACTCGGAACCGATCAGCAATCGTTCCAGAGGATTTAAAGAGCCAACTTGCTCTAACGCAGAGCAAAAGACCGTCCGATCGAGTTTAAGTGTCCCACACATTTTCAAGAATCTGGTTTCCGTGTCCGAGAGAGAACACCCGATATTCAGGCAGCGCTTCCCCTTTCTTTTTTTCTCTTGGCCTTTCTTTGTCCCTATTATTCGGGTCATCGACACGGGACAAGTTTTCTCTCCGCCGTTGTTCTCCGGAGTGCACGGGTTGCAGGCTGCAGTCGTGCACGGGAGCGAGACGGACAAGGAGAGGAGAGAAGAACGAAGAGAGAGAGGGGGGGGCGAGAGAGACGGAAACAGAGAAACACGGCTCTCTCCGCGTGGTTTTATTGTGGGTAAGTGTTTTCGGAGGTCGCCCCGATCAGCTGTACGGCCGAAGAGCTAAACTTAGTTACGGATAGTTTGTATTTCATTCACAATAATACGACACTTGGACACGTGTTCCCTTGAATGACGAGCAGTCGCGTGCGTGCTCCTGTTCATGCTATCGCTCGCGCGCGCGTTCTTATTCCCGCACCCTGTCTTTGGAAGAGGAGGCCACGCTAACTCGTACAAATCGACTATCGCGGCGGCACGTTGCTCAACACAATTACGAACCCGCGTTCCGCGATCTTTCCGATCAATGGACTGCGAGCGGACACAGGCTGATCGACGATAAATTCCGAAGCGCGTGCTTCGGCGAAGGAGACTATGTATCTTGAAATATTTCATGCTTAAAATTCGTGAGCCAGTCCGCCTGAAGCATGAACTCCTGGGCAGCCTTTATCCGTCGCGATAGAGATGCCACCGCTGGGCGGAGAGATAAGCTCGCGATAGATCTTTCGTACTTGACGAAATAAAACTTTCCAGGGTCGATTTGGAAGCCAATACCCCATCATGCCCGTTCCGAATCGCGAGCACGAGAAGATTGTCCCGAGCCAGTTGTTGGGCTTGCTCTCGAGCAACCACGAAATCTTTTGAGGCCGAACGCTCGCGCAACCGTTCCGAGGGGCGCTCGTGATTCGTGACACACCGCTTCACTCTGCTCCAAGCAACGCAATGCAACGCAATGCAACACGCGGCGCAACGCAACGCGACGCAAAAACAACCTTGACACAATCGCCGCGCGCCTCAGCTCGAGGCTTCACAGCACGAGGATTGTGTCTCGCGCGAACTCGACGAGGCTTGTTTTTCCACGACGCTTTTCGCCGCGCCTTTGTCGGCCGCTTTTTCTAGTTCCGCAAGTTTCCAAAGAGCTCACCGCGTTTTGCAAACTGCCGCGCGCGCGCGTTCTTTTCTCTCGTTTCGATAAAACACGAGACGAGAGTCGCAGTTTTCTCTCCCTTTGGAAACAAGCTCTCCAAAACCCGTGGGACACCGGACGACGGTCGCCGCGGTTTACGATTTCCTGTTTTCGCGGGACGAGGAAGCCTCGAATTCGGCGCGGTCGCAGAAGCGTAACGCGGTCTCGGGATTTATCGTTATCGAGGACGCGTACCGCGGAGGATACTCTCAAACTCGAAATTGTTTCGACGTTTTTCCAGCGGCGAGCCTACCAGCTCGTTTAACAGGCTATTGGCTGACGTTCGACGTTTACGAGACGCGCTGGTTCGTTGCGAGGCGAAAAAAAAACTGCGAGAGCATCGTCGACCACGGGAAACACGTGGCGTTGCACAACCAGCCGTTACAGCATCGGGAAAATAAACCGAGGAAAGAGCGATCGTAAAGTACCTCGACGCGGTCGCGTAAAAACCAAAAAACTTGGTCGCGAGAATTGTGCACGGCGCTTTATTGTTAGGAGACCTCGGTCGCGATTCTTCTATAAGACAAACGCACAGATCGATGCTTTCCGAACGCTTATACAATTTTTGTGGTGTTTAATCCTTTATGCGACAATGAAAAACCGTAACTGCGCGGGGTCGCAAGGTGAATGTTCGTTTTCTCTTTATTCGTCGCGATAATAAAAATCCTATAAGCACGCCAACGCTGAGGTTTTTTTAAAGTAACATCACCTGCGTTATGGAATGTAGTATCCGGAAATTAGAATGCGCAACGCGATGAATTTCTGGGTTCCAGTGAATGATATCCGGGCTCGTTCGAAACGAACGAACAATTGAACGGTAAAGCACGACCGGCTGGGGAATAGATTCCATTATCATTGTCCGATTCCGGTTCGTCGTCGAGGAAGAAAGAATAAAAAGCCTCGACGCGATATTCGACGAGACTCGAATCTGCCTTTAATTAATTGAGGCAGACACGGTGCGGTGCGGCGCGACGCGAGACGACGCGACGCCGGAGGAATTGAAGCTCGCGCGCCGTGGTGTCTCGCCGCTGGAACCATCCCCGTTCCAGGTACGATTTCAGGCTTGAATCTCAAAGTTTAACAGGTTCCGGCCAAATCGGATTCCCCTTAGTAAATTTTCTACTTACAGATCCCCGTGACTCGGGCTCGCTGAACGCGAGATTTACGCGCGCCAGGGATTTAACTCGCCAGAAACCCTTCCCCCATCTTCTTAACGGCCCGTTTTTCGTTGCGTCGTACCCTGCCCGGTTCCGCGATTTCTAGAGACGTTTTACGTATAGTTTATCGACTGGCGGATATTTCGAAGTCGAGCAAATATCGCACGCTATCTGCGACGATAACGATAGAGCCGAGCTACCGGGACGGATCGATCGGCCCAGCCGAAGAATACTTTCATTTTCGATGAAACCAATCTCGCTCGAAATCGGAAATGGAGCTAAGGAACGCTAGAGAAAGAGGTTTTTCTGTTTCCTGTGTCCGGAAACCGGCGGTTATTTATTTTTGCGAGAAACGGGGTTGCCGACGAATCGGGTCGCGTGTCGAAAAAGGGATCGCGAAAACAAGAGTGGAGAAAGGTTTGTAGATTGTGTTCGAGGAAACCGAGTAGACGAGCGTCGCCGTGAAAGCGACGCCGGCGAGTCGCCTCTTTCACTGGCATCGTTGCCAGCGCGACCGACGCGGCCGAATCTGCCCCGCTATCGACCTAAAGCCGTTCGAAAAATCCAACAAAAAATCTTTCGTCTCTCTCCGGATCGAAATATTGACATTCGAAGGGCTCCGCCGAGAGTAAATCCAACGACTCGTGCGAGCATCGAAAATCGAGAAGCGAAACACGTAACGGCAACGTTGGGTCTTCCTCGATGAGCTGGCAGAAAATTAGTACGACTAAGCCGATAGAATCGGTTCGGGCAACGAGTTGGGCAAAAACTTTTCGGGATCGCGACGTGGAGCGAAAATTCGAAAGGGAAGTAGAAACGTTGGAGGGGGTGGTAATCGAATCAGGGCTAGACGACACGTGACGAGTAAAGAGGGATTGCGTATGTATCTCTCGATTCGAAATGATCACAGTGTAGCGATCGTCGCCGATCGCGACATCGGGGAGGGTAAATATGCTATCTGGAATCGTGGCTGGTTTCGCGAGGGGGCCAAACGGGAACATGGAACGGAAAGGAAAGGTAAAGAAGGGAAAAGAAAGGAAAGGAACGGTCCGCTTACACTGGTATAGAGGGAGAGAGAGAAAGATAGATAGAGAGAGAAGCATAGACTACGGGACAAGCAAGCATAGGGAGGTAGGCAGCCACGGGACGGGGCAGCCACACACGTATGCATGTATGTGCAGACTAGCTGGTACGCGTACCGCGTACGCATACGCATACGCGAGGTAGACGGGCATGCGGTGGTACGCGGTGGCAACTGGCGCGCCACGGGTTCATTGTCCCGTGTGGTGCCCGTGGTGGAAGCCCCTCGTTGAAAAGGAGGGCCCGAGTGTCGGGCGTAATGTGTCCACGGTATAGAACTGAAGCTTTCGAACGACTTACCAGTTGTCCAACTTGATCAGCTCCTCGGGTTTTTTCGTCTTGCGATCCGCCTTCAGTCTGAGCGCCTGCGGATAAAGCTTGAGGACGTGTTCGAACTGATTCGCGGTACCCTCCGCGAAGAAAGTCGCTGTGTCTTTCACGGAAGCCATTGTGATAACTGAGCTTCTCGGAACGGCCGTTGGGGCGCAGCAGCAGCGCCTCCGCACGTTATGCCCGTCTCCGTCGCTCGTTCGTACGCGTGCTCCGTCTCGCTCCCTCCTACCCTTGCTGATCTTCTATCCTCTACGAAGCCGCGTATCTCGGACTCCGGCGGTTTCTTTCCTTTCCTCTCCGAGTGTGTCCCTCCTTCTCTTTTCCTCTCCTCACCGCACCTCACACACGGTTCGCCGCTGTTCCGATGTGTGCTGTGTGTGTTGTCCTCGCTCACCGTCGGTGCACGCTCCCTCTCTCGCGATCCGATGGTGCACCCCTCTCCGCGCGTGCCTCGGGAGAGGACCGACCACGCGAGAAATCCTATTTTACCCTCTGCCTCGTTCGAATTCTCTCGGTTTCACCGGCGGCGGTGATACGCGACACACGCGTGGGACGCGTTCACGATCGGTCTGCACACACGCAGTGTCTCGAACGCGTGTCCGGATCAAAGAGATTCAGCGAGACGCGACGAGTAGTTTCGCACTGGCACCACCGTTTTCTCTCTGTCCGATCGACGTTCTTCTTCCTTTCGTTCGTTTTTCGATTTCTACGTAAAGGTATCTCCTTCGTGCTCCCAAGAACGACGTCACCGAAACGATATTTACCGGTGTATCCGCGTGAAATCGAACACGCCGTGACAATGTTTACGCGGGTACGAGAAGCTCTGTTCAGCTACGAGGTCTCGTGCGTACACTCTCGTAAGGGAAAATCACCGTAGTTACACGCCGAGAACTCGCCTTCGGACCTCGTTCGACTGTCCCGGGTGGGGAGCGCGACTCGACGTCGCCAATAGGGAGCAGCACCACTCGGCGTGTATTGCTCTCTCGCTCTTTCTCTCGCTTGCTCTTCCTTCCTCGTTGACGGTTCCCCCTCGTTGACGCGATCGTTCTCTTTCTCTTTCCGTCTCTGTTTCTCTTCCGCCACGTCCTTCCACCTCTTTTCACCACCCTTATTATTCGTACCGAAAATTTCGACGGTTGTGTGCGGACGGACACACACGGGAATCGACGTTACGAAAATAAGGTTATCGACGACGACGACAACGGTGATACTTTTATATTATTGTCGTTCAAGCGGTTCGGCGTTCTGAGCTCATATAGGCTCGTCGGAAAGGAGAACGCTCAAGATACGGGAGCCGGGAACACTCGGAACCTCCTTTCTTTCTCTCTGTTTCTCTTTCCCTCGGTCTCCCGAGAACTCGAGACCACTGTGTTTCCCTCGGCGCCAGATCCTTCCTCTCTCCTTTTCTCCCTCGGTCCGACGAGAGAGGCTCTCGTACGAATGAGAATGCGAATGCGTGCGGATTCCCCGCCGGATGTCCGCGAAGCAAAGACGGTCTTCCCCCACCGCTCGGCTCTCGTACACGCACGTCGCACGTCGCACGTATGCACCGACGATTTACCGAATCAACTCTCTCGGAATACACACGGTTCTCGCGTGCTTCGATCGGCCGCAACGAGACTGTACGCGCGCGTTCCGCAGGGTACGTGCGTTGCTCTCTCGCCCTTTCTCGCTCTATTTACTCGTCAACGTCTCCGATCCTCTCGTCTGCCAGAACACGGTATACCGACGGATTCCATGTAACCGTTCTCAACGTTCTTGTCTCCCGACGGTCTCCACTACGGCGGCAAGAGTCCACGCTCGAACGTCGGTAAACTCCCGCCGACGGTTTCATCGACGATGCTCTCGGCAACCACGAGAACACGACGAGGACAACGCGATGCACAAATCGCGTCGAGTCGCGTCGCCTCGCGTACAGTCTTTTTCCTTCGCGAGAAACGGCCTCGGTTACGCTCTATCGCACGTCCGCCTCCGTACGAATCACCGCGTTCGATGGCTGTGTACACGCTCGCCTCGCTCGCCTGTCTCTGCACGTATCTCGTCTCTCTTTCTCTCTCCCTCTCTCCGTCTCTCGCAGTCTCGACCGTCTATTTCGAAGCGCGGATGTGCGAGTGCGAGCCTAGTCGAGTCGAGTCGAATGCGCGCGCGCTCGCTCGCGACCGAGCGAAAGAGCGGGCAGAACGAAGCTCGAAGCCTTCCCTCGAAAAACGGGAACACCGGAGACCGGAGTAGTGCTCGCTTAGCCAGAGACCACGTATAGTCAATCGTTCGCTCTTCTCTGTATGCTGACTATAGTGAAACGGACGACCGACTGAGGGCAGCGCCTTCGCTGCCTTCTGGCTCGTTCTCTTCCCTCTGTGCCCCTCGGGACACTATCACCGCAAAGCGCCGACCCTATCTCCCCACCGCCGCCCTCTTTGCTCCCACTTGCTCTACCCCCTCTCTATCGGCCAATAACTCGCTCTTCGTCTATCTCGTATAAATTCGCCCCCTTGCCCCCGCGAGTTTGTCCTTCTTCATCCGATACAAACAAACGAAGGAAGAAACGCGATGAATCGTCTCTTTATTATACGCGTTTCGTGCCGAAATATCCGTCGTTTCGACGACGATAGCGGTACGATTTCTCGCGCCGTTCCCTCGTTCGTGGGCTCCCAGCACGCTCGGTGCGAGGCAGGCGCTCGATACGTCCTCGTGAAGGCGCGTACCGTTCGCTCGATCGCGCTGGGTCGTCCGACTGGAAATCGATGCTAAAGCCGGAGTAGAGGCGCGCCAGTGCCAGTGGTGCCGTACCACGGCTGGCATACACGGATCGCGATCCTTGTGTGCGCCGGAGCCTCTATATAAGCGAACACCGCCGCTCTATACTCCGCAAGGTTAAACCGTGTGGGTAGAGACGGGGTTCGTTCTACGAAGAGGTCGAAGCTTGTGTGCGACGCGTCACGCTCTGCGAATACACCGAGCGTCCCTGTATGCGCATGCGCATTCTACCCGTCGATAGTACGTGTGTACGTGTGCCAGCAGAAGTGGCCCAACACACGCGAAACGACATTTGCGGAGGAGGCGTGCGAGCAACCCTCGCGTCGCGCCGAACCGAACACATTTTCGAAAAGTCTGCTAGGCTTTCGAACCTCTCCAAACTACGTACATACACGAATAAATACTATAATACTTTCCAATGCGAATGGAAGGGATTGTTTCCGAATAAAGGTGGACGTCGGAGAAGTTGCGAAACTTGTCAAATTTTTTCAATTTTGTAAACTGTAGAGAATAGCTTTTCCAGGAAATTCGTTGTCCTGAAACCTTTTGTTCTCTCGTTCGATACTTTATCACGATCTCTACTTTCGTCGTCGCTTACAGAAATTCCGAGACGAATCGATTTAAATCTCTCGACCTCCTTTTTGTTCGCTGCTTTTTCCCCCTAGCGTCCGTGACCGTCGCGCAAAATTGCGATCGTTTCCTCGGAACGATACGTATTTCGCGCGAAGGGTTTGTTCAGTCGCGTTGCGTTGCATTGGGTTGGGTTGCGCTGCATCGCGTTGCGTTCGTGTACGTGAGAGAACGGGCGTTCTTTACAGCACGGCATACGCCTATACAGCACCGTATCAGTACCACATGCCACGCTGGTGGCAGAGCAGCGCTGGCATATAATCAGCCTTGGGTTGGTGTTGGTATGCGATACCGGTGTGTTCGTGTGGGTACGCCGTGTATCGTCGTGAGATCTTGCTTCGCCAACCGAGCCATGCCCATGAGTACCATGGAAGAGCGAACGCCTCACTACCAATGTCAGCATCACTACCACTGGTGCGCTCTATAACCGCTAGCCAGTCGACTGTAGCCGTGGAAAGTGCCGAGCGAGCGCTTGCGCTTCGGTAACTTTCCATTGTCGTTGCTCCTGCGGAGCAACAACGAGAGAACTTGCCAGTAATCTTTCCGAAACTTTCGAATCATCAACGTTGAATAACAAGCCCGGAAAATCTTTCAGGTAATCACGTTGCGACTAATCCTACACCAACACCTTTCCTTTGGCCTGCGTTTAAGTAGGTGTCTACGGGAATGCTTACGGTCCTCACCGCCATATACTTTGCAGCGCATCCCTTATCCCTTGAAACAGGACTTTCACAGTCCCCATTAATTTATGACACTATTTACAAGGATTTAGGTATTCGGATTTGCACCAAGAGAATTTTCAAAGCCGAAGGGTCTAACTGCGAGAAAGTAATTTCAAGTTCCGGCAGGAATGCGCGCGAACAATGGTGCAGGTAGTCGGACACCGAGTACCAGGGGTTGCAGTTGTATTTGCCTCGTTGCTGGAAGCCGCTACGACGATTTAAGAAGTTTTTATTCGCAACGTACATACTAGCGTTATAGTCATGTTCTAAAAAACTAAATTGCAATCGACGAGGAGCCGCGGTTTCACACACGGACATTTTATATAGTTAAGTATTTTAAAATACTTAAATAAGAGGAAACATTGCTCGAACGACACGTTGTTTACTGAATTTCAAATTCCCACCATGATGCGGGAGGTTGGAGAGTCTCGTAATTCGAATACAGAGGGGAATATTCGGTGGTGAGAAACGAGCGATTATGCTGGGACTCAACCCCATAGGCCTAGAGCGCAAGTCGCGGATAATGTTACGAGGGACACGGTACAGAAGGGGAAGACGAAGAGAAAGGCCGGTTTTCTTTCGAAGCGTTTTAGTAGGCAAGAGGCAAGAGAACCAACCGGGCAGCCGAGTATAAGCCTGTATAAGCCCCACATCACGGCCGTCGACTCACCGTTATGCGCCGAGCATCGGTGAAGCCCTCGTGCCCCCTATACAAAAGAGAGAGGCCCGACCCCCTCTGTCCCTCGGGCGCTTGAAATTCAACCCCGGCACTGTCGACCGGTAAGTACACGGTTGCCAGATCGGCCGAGCAGGACGCGCGCGCGGTTGCAACGCGCCGTTATCGATGCTCACCGCACGGCCGGACAATAACCTAACCTCAAATTCAGCTGCAGAACGAGCGAAGCTCAGTTCTGTTATCAGCATCGTCGAACCGCAGAACAGCCTCCTCGAAATTGAATCGACCGACGTTCAAAAGCGCCGAAAACTACTTTTGAATATTTCCCTGCTGCTCGAGCCCGCATTGTCTCTTCCCAACGAGAATTTGTCCCCACTTATTACCTTCCTCCGGACAGGAAAAAGATAGAGATACTCCCGCTATAGAACAATTTTCTCATTTCGACCACGCGGCTGTTCATCGATTATTTTTAAAAATAGATCCGCAACCTGTTAATCATTTGAAGATAACAACAGGCCACACGAATAACGTTTATTCTACGAATAAATTTTATTTATTCGTAGAATAAACGAATCTGATTAAACGCGATCAGAAAAAGATGCAATTAGCGCGAGAGGGGAACGAAAGAGAGCGCGAACGGTAGCCGCGACTGGTTGTATCCTGTATCGCGTTCGAAATACGGTGCTCGGATGTGGGGCGCTATAGCCGTGTTCGATACGAACACGTGTTCTCGATGCGGCTGCTACACGACATTGTTGCGAGGCAACATGTGGGCCACGACAGTGGAGCGGCAACGACAGTGGCACGGAACGTGTGCGGACGGAGCATAAGACCAGTCGGACGAGAGACGGGCATCAGGCTCGGCTTTATCATGGGCCAATCCGAGCGCTGTGACCTTGAGTAGCTCTAGAGAGAGAGATATATTTAGCCGTGAGCAGCTCTCGCCGCTGGTTAGGTGTTGTTGCTGCTGCTGCTGCTACTACTACTAACTCTGCCTCATGCTCCGAGCACCGCAGTCTCTCTAGAGCATAGTCGGAGGCTCGAGGCGACGGATAATCATCGCGGGGGAAACTCTGCCAACCGGGTTGATCGTCCCCTACATTAAGATTCCACGTTACGAAAATTTGTTGCCCCGATAGATATAGTTTCCTCGTTCCCATTGCTTCCTCCTCGAATGATTAGCATCGCCCGGGTCTCTGATCTTTGTTGCGATTCCGTAGCGGCCAGAATTAATGTTAAACGCGTCGGTGAATTCCACGCTGGGATAGTTGTGCGGCTCTTAGAATTCGTCTGTGACGACTCAAGGCTGGTCCATTCATTTTTCAACGTTGACTTTCTCGAACGGTCGCTTGGTCCGATGTTTTGCCGCAGTCAGGGACATTCGATTATCCGCTTTTTATTTTGGAACGTCGAATCGCGAACGCTAGGTGACGATGATGATGAGTACCGAACCAGTTCTCCTTGGATGCTTCGAGACAGAGAGAACTCGGCAGCGTAGTCCGGGTTGCGAGCCAATTTCCTCGAATTTCTCGAGCGTTGCGGCTACGTGATCACTGTTGATCTGGAAACCGTACAATTCAATTAGCACGAGAAAAATTTCAACACACGTGTGATACGCAATCGAATCATAAATGCAACAACGAGGTGTCCGTTACCTACCACGACCCTGTGCATTCGAACGAAGGAACAGTTGCAGTTCGTCGAATCCGTAAATTCCGGCGTGCAGAGCAACAAGTAACCCGTATGCGCCATCGATCTTGTCCCTTCTCGAATCGATCACGCTGCCGGCAATGGTACTTGGAATTTCCACGGGATCTATTTACACGGAGCCAATAGTTTGACGCAACAGGCGAATCGAGATTTCGCTCTCTTACACGAGAGACCGACGCGCGGCAGCGTGAGTTGCGGAGGGAGGACGTGGAAATGGGGGTGGATAACGGCAGGAGGGAGAGATCTAGCCGGAAAAAGGGAGCGAGACGGGTGAAACGAGTTGGGAGAGAGAGAGAGAGAGACCGGGAGAGAGACTGAGAGAGAATCGCCGGAGACAAAGAAGCGAGATGGGAGACGACCGGTAAGAGCAAGAGCGAGAGATCGTAAGCACGACAAAGATGCCCACCGGGACGGAGAGAGAAAGGCTACAAGTCTGTGCGGTATTCCTTTCAGTGTGATTGTCATTCATGCATTGTGAATCAGGGACTTTATTTTTAGAAGCGACTGAATGAAAGTGGAGTACCCGTAGTAGTAGTATAATGTCGGTGGTATATATATATAGACGGAGAAGAGGTGGCGGAGGAGGAGGAGGAGGAGGAGGAGGAACAGCAGGAAGAGGAGGAGGAGGAGAAACGGACAGGAGGAGGAGAACGAGGAAGAGAAGTACGCGATAGGGGGAAAGGGTAGAAGAGAAAGAAAGAGAGCCGTCCAAGAGAAAGAGAAAGAGAAAGGGGGCGAGGGAGGGCACGAGGAAGACGTTCCACCGATCTGCGAGTAAATCGTAGTACGTCCTCACACGTGGCTGCTCCCTCTCCGTCACCCTTTTCCCCCGATTCCCCCCTTTTCGCTGCTGACGCCGCCGCCACCACCCTCAGTCAACGACACAAACTGCGGACACGCGACGCAGAGGTAGACGCACGTGCCCACTTTTACCTATACCTCCGTGTCAACCCAAACGATCCAGTAACAGAGTATCCGGATACTCGCAACTCCAAGTTCATCCGGAACCGAATCGTTTACCGTGCTTGTGTTCTGATCGGCTCGTCGTCGAGAGATCGTCAGAGACACGGAGTGTCACTCCTGTCTAAACTACAATTGAGAAATGAAAAGTACCTTGGACTTGTACAGACCAGTTGCTGTTGAACAGTACCTGCATTCCTTGCGCCTGTTTGCGAAGCTTGTCCAAATGAACTATACTCCATTGCAGGAGTAATCTCAGCTCTCAATGTAGTATTTGAACTTTGGAGCAAAAAAAAAAAGAATTAGTCGGTGATTCGACGCAAGTACTCACGGTACAATTCTTGATGTCCGCGGCAGAAGGATGTGGTGGTCACTATGGTCCTCAACCGTCCTCTTGATGACTCCGCGTCAAAGTACTCTAGATAGCGTTACCGATGAGTTCTCTAGCAGGCTCGGCACCACTCCTTGTTCATCTCTCCTCCATCATTTCGCAATCTGCCAAAAGGAAATGCGATTAACAGAGAGGCAGGCGCGAGAAAGCAGCGATTCTCGAAGTCGCAACTGACAAAAGCTAGACAAGGAAGGAGAGACGGCGCCGAACATCAACACATAGACATAATACACGTGTGCAGAGGTACGTACATGAACGTCAGCGCATACGCAGATAGAACGAAGAGGAGAGACGTGCGTAAGCAACGATCCAATAAATTAGTGGGATCATTGACACCGTCCGCGTGGTTGAGCTTCAGTCGTAGCCACGTTGTACTACGATGTTTACACTTTAATTCGAGATACTCGAAATGTCACGTGCGCGCGTTATCCGTGCCACTATACTCTCGTGATAAACGTGTGTCTCTCTCCGCGGTTAGGGGACAAGGGAGGGAATCGGGGCGGGCCTTAGGGGAGAGAAGGGGCACACAGATGATTTGACAAACTCCTCGCGGACCGAGTCATTGAGCGGTTTGTTCTCTCGTGTTCTCTCCTTCGGTCGTCCCTCCTCCGCTCTCTAGCGCAATACACGTTCTCAAGGTCCAGGAATCTATGTTACCGTTATCTGAATTGGATTATAAAACCGAGCAGCCTTGACCCGGGACAAACACGTGTCTCGTTTGTAAACAAATAGAGCGCGTTGGTTGATTCGCGTGTCAACCTACGCATTTCCGACCTGGATTTGGGACCAACAGGAACGAATTATATGTACAGGTCCATTTATACGGATCGACAACGATGTCATCTGTATATATATACTTCCTTATTTGTATTTATTTCCCACTCAGGGCTACCGTTACTAAATCTCTTGGAACCCCTGCTTATCCTTCCGCGTCTCGTACACATGTGTCCGTCCGCTTTTCTCACTGNAAGGGGGCGAGGGAGGGCACGAGGAAGACGTTCCACCGATCTGCGAGTAAATCGTAGTACGTCCTCACACGTGGCTGCTCCCTCTCCGTCACCCTTTTCCCCCGATTCCCCCCTTTTCGCTGCTGACGCCGCCGCCACCACCCTCAGTCAACGACACAAACTGCGGACACGCGACGCAGAGGTAGACGCACGTGCCCACTTTTACCTATACCTCCGTGTCAACCCAAACGATCCAGTAACAGAGTATCCGGATACTCGCAACTCCAAGTTCATCCGGAACCGAATCGTTTACCGTGCTTGTGTTCTGATCGGCTCGTCGTCGAGAGATCGTCAGAGACACGGAGTGTCACTCCTGTCTAAACTACAATTGAGAAATGAAAAGTACCTTGGACTTGTACAGACCAGTTGCTGTTGAACAGTACCTGCATTCCTTGCGCCTGTTTGCGAAGCTTGTCCAAATGAACTATACTCCATTGCAGGAGTAATCTCAGCTCTCAATGTAGTATTTGAACTTTGGAGCAAAAAAAAAAAGAATTAGTCGGTGATTCGACGCAAGTACTCACGGTACAATTCTTGATGTCCGCGGCAGAAGGATGTGGTGGTCACTATGGTCCTCAACCGTCCTCTTGATGACTCCGCGTCAAAGTACTCTAGATAGCGTTACCGATGAGTTCTCTAGCAGGCTCGGCACCACTCCTTGTTCATCTCTCCTCCATCATTTCGCAATCTGCCAAAAGGAAATGCGATTAACAGAGAGGCAGGCGCGAGAAAGCAGCGATTCTCGAAGTCGCAACTGACAAAAGCTAGACAAGGAAGGAGAGACGGCGCCGAACATCAACACATAGACATAATACACGTGTGCAGAGGTACGTACATGAACGTCAGCGCATACGCAGATAGAACGAAGAGGAGAGACGTGCGTAAGCAACGATCCAATAAATTAGTGGGATCATTGACACCGTCCGCGTGGTTGAGCTTCAGTCGTAGCCACGTTGTACTACGATGTTTACACTTTAATTCGAGATACTCGAAATGTCACGTGCGCGCGTTATCCGTGCCACTATACTCTCGTGATAAACGTGTGTCTCTCTCCGCGGTTAGGGGACAAGGGAGGGAATCGGGGCGGGCCTTAGGGGAGAGAAGGGGCACACAGATGATTTGACAAACTCCTCGCGGACCGAGTCATTGAGCGGTTTGTTCTCTCGTGTTCTCTCCTTCGGTCGTCCCTCCTCCGCTCTCTAGCGCAATACACGTTCTCAAGGTCCAGGAATCTATGTTACCGTTATCTGAATTGGATTATAAAACCGAGCAGCCTTGACCCGGGACAAACACGTGTCTCGTTTGTAAACAAATAGAGCGCGTTGGTTGATTCGCGTGTCAACCTACGCATTTCCGACCTGGATTTGGGACCAACAGGAACGAATTATATGTACAGGTCCATTTATACGGATCGACAACGATGTCATCTGTATATATATACTTCCTTATTTGTATTTATTTCCCACTCAGGGCTACCGTTACTAAATCTCTTGGAACCCCTGCTTATCCTTCCGCGTCTCGTACACATGTGTCCGTCCGCTTTTCTCACTGTTCCTGCCGAGATTGTACTTCCCATCTCACATCACCTGATCAGTATAGATCCTACAGTTTAGTTGGAGAAAGGACTCGAAGTGTAATGACAAGCAACTTTTCGTTTTCGAGAAGAGATTTAATTGCAGTAGCAATTGCATTAGACGAGGAGCATAGAAATAGAAAAAGGAGGAGAGAAAGAAATTGGTGCGACCATCCAATTTGGAGAAACTGAAATTCGGAACGAGAATTTCTCTTATATAAACAATTAATCGGTCACACTTCCAAATTTGATGGATACTTTCGAATGACAAAAGATTTATTCAACATTCTGTTGAATAATATTAAACCGACAATTGCGAAAGAAAACGTCGTAAAAAAGTCAATATCACCAACGATACGTTTATATTAAGTTTCAGAAATCATTCGGGACGAATCCTTTCCGAGCCACGGATGAGACTCGAAGAGACATCATAAAGTTCGTAAATGCTATCATTATACCCTACATATACCTTTCTACAAATAAGCAAACGACGTCTGCGGTCTATACTGATCAATGAATATGAGTTTTACGCGTTCAAGGTGCCTAAAGCCACACGTGTTTGCATACTGATGAAGAAGCCAATATCGCTCTTCGGTTTTGCTGAGTAGGCAGCAACGTTTGAGACGCGAGAAATCGGCTTGGACGCGGCCCGGACTCGGTCTGTATAAACGGACCTTTATCCGGGTAGCGGGTTTGTGACTGACCCATCGATAGAAACAATGTTCCAGATCCTAGCGGGAACGATTCGGACATCATCGCCGCGAATCATCGGACATCATCGCCGGATTCCACCGAAGTTAAGACGACTATCGACTCTGCGAACAGATAAAGCTTCGCCGATGAAAAGTTTAAATAATTTCTCCTCGAAATAATAATATTTAAAGGGACTCGGTCGACGGGACAAGGAACGTATATGTACGCTCGTCTGTTTGCAGAATATCGCGCATTTGTGGGCAACAATCGTTCCGACTATTATCTAATCGTGACTTCTAGCCTCGATGCGAGCGTTCACGTAATTGTTACTTAATCCCTTTCTGGACTGCGCATCGAACAGAGTCTCTCGACTCGGTTGTACACGGGCAGCACCGTTTTTTCAAAGAAAAGGTCAGCATCGCGCTACTTGTGAAATCCAAACGTTGTTTGCAGTAAACAACAACCGTGATAACGTCATCGGGATCTCCCGGAATTCTCTCTCGGTTTTCCTCATTTCCCGCCGACGACAAACGTGCTCTCGATCGCACGTTATAAAGGTGCACAGACACTGACCGGACCGAAAAGCGAAAAGAACACGCGAGAGACAAAGAGAAAGTCTGTTTTTTCGGAGCGAACTCGATCGAAACGGTGCCACGGGAGCTTTAAAGTCTACCATGTACATTCTACTAGCCAGATGCGGTACAGAGGATGTCTAGGTCACCGACTAAAGGACTCGTTCGACAGGATTATAAGATAGCAAGAAGCAGCCGTCCGATCGCGAGAATTGAAATCGAGATGAGCGCGAGATCTGTGGTTCGTATTCCGCGTCTCGTATTTCGGATTCTGGTTTCTCTACGTTCGACCGAGAGGGATCTCGAATGGAATCACATCGGCCGCGGGATTTGAAGTGAAATGTTATCTGCCGCGCACTGGCGCGCATTCGGTGGAAGTTGGGCTGTTTCTGTATTCCCGTTGCTGTTACAAGCTGATAAGATAACGGTCTCTACTTGAAATCCCCAAAAATTCCGAATACAATTTTTGTTTCCTTACGTCCATCGTTCCGGCGCTAAATGTTTAACGCAGTAGTCATCGTTGTTGAATGAGTTGCAGTCCTCAAGGAGACGAATCGATTTCGAAAACTGACGACACGTGAACCGTGAAGATAACGCGTTCCTAGGCGATCGCAAGCCTCTTCTCCTCGTCAGCGATAAATCGACGTTGTGCAACGAAACGTTCGTGCATCGAGAAAACAAATCGCTGACACTGAACTGTTTCGACGCGACACGCGCGCTTGCATTACATTCTTTCGCAGCATATACCAATGTCTCGTCCGTCGCGATAACGGCTCGTGTTCGATTCTTCATTATTGTAGAAAAGACATACTTCTTCGCCAGAATTCCTCTGCCCGCAATCCCCCTTCTTCGGCAAATTTTCCGCTATAACTCTAGTCTACGACTCGACATCGTGCAAAACTGCCTAGCCCTCAAGAAATGATGAAATGATCGTCCTACGGAATACAAAAATGAATCACAATTCTTGCAACCCAATGTTGGAAAGAAACTCGGTAGAATATATTTTACGGTACGAACGTTGCGCGCCAGTCCGAGTCACAACACGATTCGCAATTCGCAGGATAACGCTTACGTACCGATTGACGTCATTTTATAGAAAACGTCAGTTTACCGATTTTACGCAACGCTCCACGCTATCGATTTTTCACGCGTAACGTACGCGCACCGCGTATGTATGTATGTATGTATGTATAGCGTGCACGCGATGCACGTTGTTCCCTTTACAATAACATGAAAGAAAAAGATAATTTTGCAAGACGTTTAAAAGTCTATTGGAGAGGAGAAAAAGATCCGGATAGACCGACGTCAACAAGACGGCGAGTCAGTTCCGCCAGAACATTTTTCCTTTCGACTATTACCATTCGAACATAAGTGCATGTGTATACCGATGCAGCCTCGGCTGGTAATTACGAAAGTCAATTCTGCAGGTTCGCTTATCTGCCCGACCTCTCCGAGTGCGAATCAACCACATTATCTCTCCTTAGTGTCTTGCTGCGGCACGAAATACGGACGAGACTGTGAACGCGCGTAAGATCGTTCTGCCTCTAACGGTCTGCGAAACGCGTTTCTGTAAAACACGAGAAATGAAAACGAAAACGCATCGAGAAAAAACATAAATTCGCTCACCGACCGAACACGTGTTCGGTTTATCCTTCGACGATCGGGTTCTGGTAACGGATCGACCTCGTTAAAGAGATCCTGGTGACTCCATTGGCCTTTCATGGGCGAAGCGATACAGTGCCGATTGAATTCAATATCGATGGGAATGGTACTTCCGAATAATCTTTCGAAGAAGAAATCTGTCTCTGCTCTCTTTCAACTGTAGCGTGCCTAACCAACAAGCCTGGAAATGTTCAAGGACAGTAGTTGCAACTGCAAATTAATGATTTAATTTGTTCGATTCCTCGCGCGGCCATTGGTACATTGCAAAATAGCTCGAGAAACCGCGAGCGCGCATGCGCAATACGACATGATTTTCGAAATGCTATTTGTTATAAAATCTATCCTGAGAATCTCTTCCATTATTTGTTAATGAATTCTCCTGCTGCGCAGATGCAACGCTTTTGGTGCGAACTATAAGTTAATGGCAGAAGCAGAATTCTCTGGCGAGAAACGGCATGGTCGTGCTTTGTGCCAACGGAGCTTACGTTTCAAAGGCATATCGTGGATAGGCCGGGATCAGACTATGGATTATAATCTCGTTCTCTCTCCGTCTCTCTCCGCTTCCCTCCCTCTGTCGCTTTCTTCCTCTCGTTCTCTCTCCCTGCAAGGATGTCATGCTCGACGGTACTCCGCGGTTTCCGCTAATGAACCGGCAAGACTTACGGTGGTTTTATTCTGTTGTATCTTACGTCACGATATCCATCGTCGGACGAGAGTCGAGGAGTAGGCCTCGCTCGATCTTCGTCGCAACGACGAACCTCTGCCGGTGGGATCTGGAAGCTGGCCAGCTGGGCTGCGCCAACCTAACGAGTTTTTTTCCCGACGATAAAGTTCGACCGAAGCAAAACTTAGCCGGAAACAGGAAACGAGGAACGACAGGAAGATCGTCCATCGACTTCGCTCGTTTTAACAGTTTCATTCGACACGTTAGCATATATTACCTATCGATTAATTTTCATACATCTAATTGTTTCTCCTGAATCTATTTACATGAAATGCTATATATCTCTATAAATATAATATTCGATATTTGTGATAGGCAAAGTGCTGACAGTACTGTCAGGTTCACGTATTAGATATAAATAATATAATAATAAATATAATATATATAATAATAATAATATATTAGATATAAATCTAATACGTGAACCTGACAGTACTGTTAGCATTTTGCCAATCACAAATATCGAATATTATATTTATAGAGATATATAGCATTTCATGTAAATA